CCGACCTCAAGGTGGCTCTGGCTTCTCGGCTCTCGCAAAGCGTCTTCCAAGTTCCGGGGAGAACAGGACGAACGGCGGCCGGCAGAGAATCTGAAAGTCGCAGGTTGGCAGTTGACAATGACGACAGTCGAGTGCCGTACCGACTTCACCTCCGCAGACCACAAAGACTTTGACTTCCAAGTTCCTGTTCCATGCATGCAGATGGATGGATAGATGGATGGCCGGGGCGTCGATGAGCTGAGATCATCTCATCTTCCTACAACCATCCACCTTAGGGTACGAATACCCGGTTCAGAATCAGCTCTGCATCTAAAATTGCCGCTGGCTGACTCTTGAGTCTTGCCTGAGCCACCAACGCCCATCCTCCACCAGGTACGAGTCAATCAACTTCTGACGTCGACACTCGACAATCTCCTTTTTCAAGAATGGCCGTGTGCGTGCGGAGCTACGCGTCAACCTCGACGCCTCGGCCATGGCGAACCCTCCATCCCCTCTGCCTCGTCTTGCCATGTGGTTGATGGAGCCCTCCAAGGGTCTCCAGACCGGGAACCGCGGCTGCCCGTGGTCGAGGGTAATCCTCGCACGACTTCTGCTGAGAATGAGGCTGCACAGCTCACACCACTCGATCCATGGCCACCCTTTGGTTTCAGTGGTCCGGCTTTGCAGTGTATGGTCAGGATTCGACTATCGGCGTCCAAGTTTGAGCTGCATTGCTACGACCTATCCCAACGTTACTTCAATCATCGCAGAATGCGTCCGCGGAGTACCTAATTTGCGTGAGCACCGGCCTGCAGGATCGTCCTCACTATCCGTACTTCGATGGTCTTAGACCTTCAATCAAACACAATATCTGGTCGACCGTAATGCCCAGAGTTAAGACTAGGAAGACACAGTCCAGCGGCTACCAGCATGTCTTCCCTTCACCTGTCTGCCGTTTGCCGCCACACACCGAGAATGGAAAATGAGACTCTAGGTTCAAGCGGGCCTGGCCACATTGTGCCAACCCCGGCCCAAAGCTTGAGAGTGCCATTAATACACACCCTCACCACTTTCACCTAGAAAGGTGCCCGAGGCGCCGACCAGACTCCTTGGCAGATCCCATCGGTCCCAACTACGCCATCAGCACATCACACCGGGCTTGTTCGTTGATGCATCTGAGATGCCCAAGGCTTTTCTATCACAGACAACTCTCGACGCGGCAGCCGTTCGGGATGCTTGGGTAGTTCAAAGTCGCCGTTTGCTTGCATTCTCATACGTTGTAGCATAGCCTTTTGCTGCTGGCTCGTTTCGACCTGCCTACAAGAGTACGATTGGCATTACATTCTCGCAACATCTCATGCAACCCAGTTGCGAGCTTGTTGTGCGTCTTGTGCGACAAATCATGCAGCCCTTTGACCATGATGCCACCCGACGCGGCAGTCCTGCTCCGTAGCCCTCTCATTAGCAAGGTTTTCGACCAACTCCCGCTACGGGCTATCGTCTGGACGCCGCCTTGTTGACAATATAAAGGATGATACGCCCATGACTCGGCCCGCTTCCATAGAGCACCAGGCATGCCCCGACCACAGCGTTCTCCTCTGCCTTGTGGACACATTCACATTGTATTACACTATGGCGCTTTCAGACGACCGAAACACAGTTTGACTCCCGTGTCCAATCCTTTGGTGGGCGTGACGATGCAGCGGCGATATCACGGTCATGCTGCAACCCGCTAGCTTTTGCAGCTTGCAGCTTGCAGCGAGGCCTCTGAATGGGATTTCCACACATTGTTTCCGCTCGCAACGCAAGGAAACGCAACGCAACGCAAAGCAACGCAAACTAAATCACCCACCTAGTCCGCTTTATTGGTCCCCGTTCCGATCCCGGCCCAGATTGGAATTTTGGGAGTCAACGGCGAGGCTAGCAACGCAGCAAAGCTGTGGCAAACGCTGATTGATGACAACTCACCTTGACCACACCGTCCCAAAACCTTCGGATTGATCGTCCTTGATCTGTCGTTGGACCACGTTTAGGAATCGTGCGCGCCCAGAAGACGCACTGCGTCGACAACCCAGGCTTGTTTGAGCCCTCTACAATGAGCCAGCCGTGACAAGTCAGACGCACACAAGCACACCCACACCACACAAAGCTCGTACACGTCGCTGACTCTGTCGCCATACCTCTTGTCGCATCCTGGGCCGAAGAGAAGGGCCTCTGCTGGTCAACGTCCGGACCGTGCCCCTGGCCTTTCCCGAAGCGCGCCTGTCTTCCGTGCCCAGTCGATGTCTCGTCCTTCCTCATCGACGGCCCTGCCCTGCTTCACCCACTCTCTCAGAGCACTAACCTTCCAGCATCAACCGTTTCAAATCACATCACAGCGGGATCTGGGCCGAATGGTGGTCCCTCCTCTTTTACCCGTCTTTTCCGTGGCTTCTAGAAGGCTCAACCCCCTGACGAAGAAGCCTCTCAGACTTCCATACGCCGTTCTCGAGCCAGCATCGGTGACTCCGCCTCTGTGGGTTCAAAGTGGATGGGTCGCCCGTCTCCATATTTTGTTATTGAGTAGCATTCGCTTCAGCTTCAGCTTTTTCCATCGAAGCCCTACGAATACACTACGTGTGCCAGCCACCAATGCGTTGCTCAAAGCGATACAACGATCCGGTGGATTAGCCTTGGCCTGCTGCAACTCGTTTCGCTGAATCCACCACGCACACGAGATTACGGACCCCAAAGACTCTGCCATGACCACAATTCTTCAGCAGTCTCTCTCGCTTGCTGATAATTGGTTTCAACAGGGTCTTGTAACTTGTGAGTCTGGAACCACAGGTCTGAACTAAAAAGAAGGTGTTTCCTCCTGCGATGCGGGTAAGCTCAGGGCGGTGAAGTCCTTGCGCTCTAGCCGCACCGCCAAACCAACGTCTCATACGGACACGTGAGGTTATGTATGAACCTGTTGCTCCTGTTGTTATGGATATTGTTCCCCTGATACAACCAGACTGCATGACAACCTCGCCTGCCATGATCACCGCTCCAATCTGGCAGCAAGTTTTTCGCTTACCGCTTCTCGACGTGGAGCAAATGTCAAGCGGCCACGCAGAGTTGCCACCACGCATCACGACTTCATTTTTCCCCCCAAAGGAAAGGCCTAACAGAGGAACAGTCTTCCACCAAGTCAACGCTGTCAGCCACTGGCCTTTGCTGCTCGTGGCCACCCTGGTTTACACTATTTAAGCGGCATCTCCAATCAAAGATTGCCAATCGTCCGGTTTAGGCCAGTGGCCCCCCCCGCCACTTTACAGCTCCGCAAGGTAACTGGACAATGAAGATCGGCGACACCATTGCCTCCCCACCAAATTTCGATGCCAAAGCGGCGTGGAAACGCACCTGAAAAAAACTACTTGGGAGGGCGAGGGCACCGTCAGTGCCTGATTCGGCTTGTGCAGTCAAAGAGACAAAGGATGCATGGGTTGGGCTCCCAGCTGTGCCAGACAACTTCTTTGCCTGTCGAGCTGACCAAGTCTCTTGGCTCTCACCAACTGAGTCCAACTAAGTCGGCCATGGGCCGATCTTTGCTTTTTTTTCCCTGTCTCTTCTGTCTAGGTCGTTTACAAGAATGGAACGACCAAGAGGCGACCTAGAGCCTTTATGGCTTTGTAGTCGGTCGAAGACCGCGCAGATCCCTTAAAGAATCTTGCAGGATCTGCTCTAGGTCGCGCTCTCTTCTCGTTCCGTTTTGGTAATGCTTGCTTGCTTGCACCATTGTTTGGGGAGAAGAAGAAATGGGATCGTGGGGGCTGGTGGTTCGTCACTCGCGAAACTCAGCCCAAGTTCGCTGTTCGAATGTGCCAGTTCTACGAGGTCGTACTCCATGAGTCCATACCTGTTAAAGGACCGTGCCAGGGGAACTTGGGTAGGAGTGGGAGGGTTCGAAAAGTCCTGTGATCCATCCAATATGTCAAAGAAATGGCAGAGATCAGCAAAGTGTCGATCTCGGCCTCTCGACCCTGTTCGAGACAACAACGTCCACCCAGCGTGAGACGTTCCGGCTTTTTGCGGTGACAACCGCACCTCTACGTTCCAACGTTGAGGCGCGGTCGGGATCATGGTTGAGGCCCAGAACTTGGTTTTTCTTTCAGGTTCAAAAAGAGCTGTGAAATTGAGCAAGCTGCCTTTTCAGCGAAGCTGACGGATACGCTTTTCGGTCATCTACGAGGGTGGCCGCCCATCTCCACGTCCAATGTCACCTGGCAGGGCTGGCTCATTATACATAGACCCGAGATGGGGGCCCTTTCATCAAAGGGAGGGATTGTCGATGTTACCCTTTGACCGGAACCAGTTGGGAGGTGCAACATCACTCTCTTTTGTTTACGACGGTGGAATATCCAATGTCCCATGGTTTTCTCTGGTGGTTCTGGGGGATGTTGTAGCGATGGGCTTGACGGATATGAACCGGCCTCGTGGGTGCGCGCTGTGATACGAGATGGGAGGCGGGGCAATCCGTCAGAAGGCAAATCATCCCGTGAGCTACGTTCGGAGGCTTTTCGCGGCAAGAAGGATTTCCCCAAGTCTTGGTCAGTTTGCCGAGTTGGAAATGTGAGGATGAGGAGCTCGAATTGATCCTCGGTCGAGATGATCGCGGTCATTGATCGTGTGTCGACACGATTGGGTTCCTTTTGATGCGAATATGGCTGCGAACCATCGGACACTTGAGTTTTGAATTAGCCAAAAGACGTGTTGAAGATCAAGTAGAAGAGGAGATGGTCAGTATATTGATCTGATCTGATAAATTGACCGAGTGACAGTTGCTTTTTCATGCGATTTTCTCTGTGTGTTGGTCTCGATACTATCACTTGACAGCATACTCGCTAGGGTGATCTCGATGCTTTTCGATGACAGTTTATCGCTATTCACGATCTACGCCGACTGTGCCAGTGAGGCTGTCAAGCGACAGTTGCGAGGCAGAGGATATGACAGGATGACACGACGACATTCCACAACTTCGTAACTTGGTATTTTTCTTTTCACTATCATTCTTCACACCACGCATGCTCTCCCCCCTTTCTTTCTTGGTATCCAGAAAACAGCAAACCTTGGTTATACAAAAATGAGGCCTTTTTACAGCAACGTCGGACAACAGACCATCCAGAGATACCTTCGATGTAACCCGTCTAGAGGCGTGCCAGAATAGCAAATAATAATAGGTACTAGTATCCAACCCCAGAAAAAGAACAACATGTTTTCACTTCCCCCTTTTCTGTCTCCTCTGTCTATCATCCCGCTATGCAAAAAAGAAACAGGTAGAAAACGAAGACGAGGCGACGCGGATTCGTGCTAGTAGTACATAATTGCAATGGACGAGGGTGTGATAAGTTGAAATGCGGTACGCCGTGGGAATAGATAGATGTGCGATAACTCATATTATTGTTGGTTGTTCTTGTTGGCACCGAGGGGTTCGTCGTGGCAGTCTTCATCGCGGGCTCAAGGGGCTCCGTCCAGGACCCTGTGTCTTTCGTATCTTTTGCAGCTCTTCCTCGAGTCTTCTCCTCTTAGCTTGCTCCTCCTGTTTGCGTAGTTAGTATAAATCGTAATCAATTCGGTAAAGGCTGGATAACATACCCTCATGTCCTCTTGGAACTTCTTCCTCTCCTCTCTCATCGTAGTGCGGAACTGTTCGCTGAGCATCGATGCGCCAGCACCACGAGCGCCAGTGCCTGGAGTCACCTTGAGGCGCGCGTCGTCAAGCTCCTCCTGCAGCTTCGACATCTTGGACCTCGAATTGTTGACCTCGGCGTCAAGCTGGTCCTTCAATGAGCTGATCTCGCCCTCGAGACTCGACTTGACTGCAAGCGCGTCATCGAGCTTGGTCTCGACCTCAAACTTCTCCCTTTCGGCATTAATCGTCTCGGCCGTGATGTTCTCCAGCTCCTTGAGTGTCGAAGCGAGCTCCTCCTTAAGCCTGTCAACCTCTGCCTTGAGCTGGGTCACCTCGACGGTGCTCTTAACAGCCGCAGCCTGGTTGGCCCTCTCCTTACGAGAGCCATATGCACCATCGAGCTCGGCTTGTGCAATCGTCAACTCCGTCTTGAGCTCGACGATCATCATATTGAAACGTTCAATCTCTTCCTCCTTCTCCTTGACCTCCTTATCCTTGGCTGCAACCTCTTGCTGCTTTTCGACTGCGGCTTTCTCGGCTCCAGCCAGCCTCGTCGTCAAGAGCGCCAATTCTTCGTTGGCCTTGCTCAGCTTGCTGTTCATGTCCTGAACGTTCGTATTGAGACTGGCAAGTGTCGTCTGGGCCTCCTTGCTGCTTGCCTCCAGAGATGCGATCTTGGCATCACGCTCCCTGATCTCGTCTTGGGATTTGGCACTGCTGGACTCGTTGGCCATGCGCGTAGTGGTGGCGACCTCTGCCTCCTTTTGCGCCTTGGCGAGCTTCTCCTGAGCCTCAGCAACCTCCTCCTCGGACCGTTCGAGCAGTGACCTAAGCTGGTCCAACTGGTCCTGCTTGAGTGTAAGCTCGAGTGCTTTCTCTTCCTCAGCTCGCATCTGGGCTGATCGAAGCTGGTCGAGTTGGTCTTGCTTGGTCTTCAGCTCCTCATCCTTTTGCGAGTCGGACTTGTTATTCAACTCTCGCTGCTGCTTGATCTGGCGCTTGAGAACGGACTTCTGCTCCTTGAGACTCGTGGCTTGGCTGTAGAGCCACTGGACCTTTGTAGAGAATGCCGACAACGAGTAAGGCTCTGATGTATCGACAGCTTCGTCTCCAGACATATCATCATCGTTGTCAGATCTGCCCTGCTCCATACGTGTACGGCGACGATCTGCCTTCTGCTGCTGAATGCTTGCGAAACCAGTCTGGATGATCTCCCACAGGCCCATCAGTACGACCTCAGCCTGCTCGTCGTCTTGCTTCTTGACAGCCGACTTGCTGGCATTCTTCTTCATCTCCTCCTCCACAACAGTTAGAGCGCTCTGAAGCCACTCGAACTGCGCGTCGATGCCAGAGTCCGGAACTTCAGGGTAGCTTGGATCAACTCCGACAAGAAGATCCCGCATTTTCTGGTTTACATCCTCGAGACGGCCTTCTGCCTGCGTGAGGGCGATAGATGCCTGAGCTGCGGCAGCCTCCGCGTCCTGAAGACTACCAGTCGACTGTCCTTGAAGCTCTTGTTCCTGGCGTACAGTCGACAGACATGCCTCCAGGTACTCGAATTGGCTTCCTAGTGTAGCGCCAGGATTGGCTGGTCCTTCAACTACTAGTAAGGGAGGTTCCCGGAAGCCTCCGTTCTTGGCTGGATTAAAGTTTATAATTACGTCTCGTAGAGTTTGGTTGTATGTCGTTAGCTTCCGTTCCGCATCAGAAACGGACTGTAGGCATTGTGCGTTCTCCTTTTTGAGAGAATCAATCTCGCCGCTTAAGGCATCGGTTTGTGCCTGAAGCTGGCTATTCTCTTCCCGAAGGCTGTTCAACGCGTCGGCTTGCGCGCGTAATTTTGCGTTCTCCTCCCTCAGCTTTTCAGCCTCCTCCCGTAGCTGGGTATCCTGCTCACGACTAGGCGCCTTTGAGGGAATATCGAGCGGAGCAACTCTGGGTTTTCCGCGAGGCGGACTGATGTTGCTCAAATCTTGGAAAAGTCCATCCTCGTCGAAGGGGTCGTCTCCGACCTCTAGACTATTGCGGCCGTTTGAGTAGGTGTACAGGCTCTCCGGGCTTCCAGGTATTCCGTTCATCAACTGGGCGGGGATTTGATTCACGGGCTTTTTCGATGCCTTGTGCGTTAGCTGGAGGATGCCGGCGGTGTGCTCCAGGAGACCCCTTTGCGATTCAACCAGGCGCTGTTCGAGGCTCCGCAGTTCGTTCGACAGATCGTCGACTCGTTTCTCGCTGGCCTGTCGTTCCGCCTCGGCCTCACGCAGAGACTCTCCCGTGCTGTTCCGATTACTGCCCATCAGACTCCTCCTCTTGCCCGCCTCAGGCTGCGAGTACAGCTTAGCCATGGAAACAGCGGCATCTCGGTACTTGGTCTGGATAGCGAGGTTCGTGCGCGTCTGTTCCACCCGTAAGCTCAAGGATTGAATCTGTTTCTTGAGCCCGTCCACTTCCTCCTGCGACAATATTCGGTATTGCTTGCTGTCCGTCAACGCCGTCTCCGTCAACAAGTGGACTTGAATCGGGTCCTTGAGATCAACCAAGGCAGAGCTCGGCGGAAGTTTGGCACTCGTCTGCGTGGTGTTAGATGCGTCTGGACTGAGCGGGCTAGACCAGTGAAGAGGACTGACCGGATTAACGCGCAGAGGCGCCCCTCCAAAGTTGTTCATAATGTCTCTCCTGAGGCCATCCCCACCTATTGACCTTCCGCCAGGGCCAGCAGCCCGGGGCGGCGAGGGCCTCCCCGGGGAGTACCCGTTCATGATATAGGGTCAGATGTGTAGCAAAGGACGGTTCGCGTCAAATCATTATATTACAGCGGAATCGTAGAGTCGTAGGTAGCTTATGATGTCGTTGAGGCCGTGGAAAGCATGTTCGTCGGACGGATACGAGGAGGCTAGAGTAAAGTGTATGTTCGCACACACGTCGGACGGGGACGTTGGAACAATGGTATGGTACAGCGATGCGTGGATGGACAAAGAGTGGCTGGTGGCTGGCGCGTGGGATTTGTGCCGAAACCCCTTGGAGGGAGGCAAGGGGGTTGTTCGCCGTTACAGTATCGAGGTCGCTATCGCCGTGGAGACGGGGGACGTCGTCGGAGACGGATTCAGCACCAGCCGCTTCGCAAAAGGTAATCGAGGGGCAAAAGTTGCGAGGTTAAGGAGAGTGTTTCCCCCGACGAGGCATAGGCATCCTTTTTTCCCAGAACGAGAGGTGGATCGGCTTGTGCAAAAGCGACTACGAGGTGCAGTGTGTGCAGGTGCAGGTGCTGGTGCAGGCTGGTGCTGTTGAGTTTGCCGTCCCAAAAATTGAGTTGGGTGACCTGTCGCAGCGGGTGGCAGTCTGGCAGACACATTTGACACTACCGCAGCAAAAGCGCCCCCCGCCCCCTGGCAGATGGTTCATAATTGGCGATGCTTCGCAGCTCCCACTTCGGGGGGGCTCTTGCGCTAAGCTTATCTGGGTTCGTCCCTTACCCGTTTTCCCTGCGTCGCTGCGGCTACCTTCCATTTACGCTATTGGCAGATGGGCCCGTTGGTCAACGGTACGTACTGCACTATCTCACGCTACTTAAGTGAGAGTCAGCAGACCGTATTTTTAGTTTTAGGATCTCTGACTGCTGCATCCGCCTCATCCATCTGCGTGTTCCATGAGTTATACAAAGTTCTTCACATTTGCTTCTTCAACTATAGAGGCTGTGGAAGTTTGCTGATGTTTTTATTTATTTATTTTTCATGTACCCAAATTGCGTCGGCAACATCCTCGTTATTCTGTGGTTAGTGGATGGTTGCCGAACCGTCGCATCAGCATCAGACTGGTGTAATCTGGCAGTGAATTACACCGTAATTTCGGGTTTCTTTACGGCCAGGATCTGGAGCCAGGATTGCGCCGTACTAAACCGTTTTGAGAAACGACCGAACCTCTTTCGGGCACCTCATTATCGATCATCCCAAGAATGGCCATTCGTCTTCCCAGGCCCGCCATGAATTGTGAATGGTTCATCGGTATATTAGTATTGGATGAGCAAGACCCTCTGGTTTATTCGATAGATTGAGCCTCACCAGCTCATACTCCTAACCATTCGCAGGAACAGACTGGAGTCTTGCTGCATTTGCCATAGCTTGAGAGATAATGCATAATGTCCTCCCGACGGTTGAAGGCAGATCCTTGGTGCTTGGTAGAGAGTCTTTGTGAAATCTCGGAAATGCAGAACAAACTACGCCAGAATAAGCCTTCCCGCAGACCTGGCATCATCCAGTGCTTCAAAAGCGAACTCACGTCAGTGTAAGTGGTATTTTGTGTCTATTTAGGGCTATTTAACTTAGTCTTGCCGCCTTTCTTGGCCGGCCGGTCTCCTCCGTCCTGCGTTCCCATCCACCTGGCCCTGCGCGCCCGAGGTGGTCGCAGATGAACCCTCACCTTCCAACCGCCTTCGAAGACCCTCGAATTGTGTCCTTCTTCTCGGTGTCTTGACTCCGACCATCCATCCGGGAAGGCGCCATTTTGTCAATGCAACTGGTAGCAAGTCGTTCCTCCACGAGTGTCCCACAATCCAACCGACAGCAGCTCCCAGCAGTGAACCAGGCCACTGGAAGAGTGCCAGCTGTAGAGCGAGAGCGTAGCGGTACGTCTTGTCAGAGAAAGTCAATCCGACAAATTGGTCGTTTGTAGGCGGAGCTGCGGAAGCCGCGACGCGATATCGGTAGATATTTGGGATCGCAGCATGATATTGCGCAAGGATAGCGAAGATGATCGGGGTAGGGCCGGCTGGCATATAGTTGAATAGACCCGCGGTCAATGTCCGCGGTATGATGGACAGTAAAAGAGGAGGCATCACTGCAGTGAAGAGAGCTGATACAGCTACAAATGACTAAAGCGCTGTCAGAATCACCCCGTCCACTCAGGCCTTGCAGCAACTCACAGCGTATTTCCTTGATCCCCATATTTGTTCAACGACCCTCAAGTGGTAGAGAGTCATTGATGCGAAGAGGACCTCGCTCGAGTTGGTGCAGCATAGCTGGTACGCCAACAGGCGCCAGAACTGATGATAGCGCCATAGATGGGTGTCTACAACAATGTAGAAGTAGTGCTTGACGTCAAGCAAGCTGGCAGCAATGGAGCTCGTCACAAGGCCAAGAACGAGGGTGCGCGTCACTGGCGCATTCGTGAAGGACATGTTGTGGTTGGACGTCTATTGCATCGTAGGCCGGGTTGCTTTCTCAGCAACACTCAACCGGTGGAGGGGCAATGAGGACGATCTCTTGCCCTTGGATTGAGGCACCTGCACTGGCTCGATTGGGATGCGCCCTTGCTACGAGGGGTTCTTTGCCAGCTGCTACGGAGCTTAACTCAATCGTGTTCTGACAGTGTTGCGCAAGTTAGTGGTGTTGTCGGAATCGACGGGCGGTGCCGGAGAGCGAAGGGCGACCGAAGGATGGTTGATGCCAGGTGGTTTCTTTGGCTGTCGCCGAACCCACTTGGAGCTTGATGCACAGCTTGTGCTGTCCCTCGTCAAGTGTGTCCTTGGTTAAAGCCGACTGGACTTTCCCTGTGGTGCAGTTGGGGAATGGCCCCAGCCTCAGGCGTTGCGACGACGCCACGAAAGAGGTGGGCCACTAGAGCGCAAGATCCACAGGTTCAGACTTTCCCATGCAATGACGAGGCTGGAGGGCTGAGTGTGGCTTGCCCACCCGCCGGATCCCCGGATTGCCATTCGCTCAACGAATTACTGTGCAGCTTTCCATTCAGTGCCACCCTTGCGTCCCTTGCGTAACCCTGTCACGACGTATTTCCGTGAGGCGCAGAGCTCTGGGCACACGCCGCCGCTGCCGTTACTCCAAGCTTGAGATTCTAGGCGGGTACTTATCCAAGTTGCCAACAGATCTGACGCGACCCTCACATAGTGACACCACTGATTTCTTGTAATTCTTGTGAAAGATATTCCTCCTACATTCTCTCCCCGATTTCTTCCCTTTCGAGAATCCCTCCTAACGCATAATTCAACACATTTACAACTTTCCTTTCTCCTTACCTTACGCTGAGCGTCGCGCCAGAGCTCGGTCAGACAGCATGTCAGAAATATTCATTAACCACATCACTCGATGGCTTTTTAGTTCGCCGCCTGCCGAGTGGGCAATAAACCAACTGCGCGAACTACTCATCGGGGCCTTGAAGCAAGGACCGGTTCCTCAACATGTCGCATTCGAGATGGATGGCAATAGGCGGTATGCCCGCGGCAGGAAGATGGAGACGATAGAAGGCCACCACCACGGTTTTGAAGCCCTAGCAAGAGTGCGCGTTCCCATGGCCCTATCTTGTGTTGCGCTTGCTGACTTCCATCACAACAGGTTCTCGAGATTTGTTACAAGTGCGGCGTCAAAGTCGTAACCGTCTACGCCTTCAGCATAGAAAACTTCAACCGCCCGCAATACGAGGTCGATGGGCTTATGCAGCTGGCCAAGGTGAAGCTCGAGCAGCTGACGAAACACGGCGATATCCTGGATCGATACGGCGCGGCGGTGCGTGTGCTTGGACAGAGAGATCTGATTCGCAAGGATGTTCTGGAGGTGGTCGACCGAGCTGTTGACATGACCAAGTACAACAAGCAGTAAGTGGGCAGAAGCTACTGCTCAAGATAACTCAGGCTGACAGAATCAGAAATGTGCTGAACATCTGCTTTCCGTATACTTCGCGGGAAGAGATGACAACGGCCATGCGATCCACGGTACAGGAGTATATGATGCCCCCTGGACCCAAGTTCACGCCCTTCCCGGCTGCTCGTATTTCGCAAAAGATCATGTCGAAGCAACTGGAGCACCGAGAGCCCCTTCCGACCATCCGGGACACATCGCCGGCCCCCTCTTCACGATCCGATGGTGATGATGGTGCGTCGTCGTCAACTACTCTTCCTCCCGACTCGCCTTCACCGCCGAGGCACAGCGGCGCAGCAAGCGGGCACCGCCTGAAGAATCCAGAGACAATTACGGCTGAGACTCTCAACAACCACATGTACACTGCTGGAAACCCTCCGCTGGATATTTTTGTGAGAACTAGTGGCGTAGAGAGACTCAGCGATTTCATGCTTTGGCAGTGTCACCAAGATACGCACATCTTCTTCTTGAAGTGTCTTTGGCCCGACTTCGATTTGCAGCACTTCCTGCCTGTGCTTCTGGAGTGGCAGTGGAGGCAGAAGCAGATCGAGAGAGACGAGCGGCCAAAACAGGCGATGACCAAGGCACGAAAGCTTGCCTGAGTCTGTCCCATTGGACATAACGGCCGAGGGTTTCTATGGGGAGGCGTTTCTTAGTTGCTTGTAGTTGTGTTTGGCTGGAAAGAACCAGCTTCGGGGTCTTTTGCTTATGATTGAGAGACCACAAGGAGGGAAGGCGGGCCTGATACCACGAGAGAGTGTTTGTAAACCATATTGATATCCATCAAATTCATGTTTCGTAGATGACGCATTTGTATTGTGCAGGAAGGGAAGTTGCCCGTGCAGTCGCAAATTACGGCAAAGTTCACTTGATGGCGGAATGATCTTTGGAATGTTACAAAGGAACGCATCGAGTGATAGTTAGGTACTCCAGACTTGGGCTTACCAAGTTGTGGCGCCGATAACACGATACCCCAGGAATGACGCAGTTGATGTGGCTGATAGCGGATTGCCAGTGTTCAATGAGGTGCCGCGCGCAACACTGGCCTCAGTGCCCGGGACGTGACATGAGGTGCGCGGTGCAGGCTCCTATCTTTTTTTTTTTCCCCTTTCCCGCTGGGTCTCAAAGTAAATGTGGCTGAAATGCGCGGCGCGCCAGGCATAGGGCCAATGGGAAACTGGGAAGGGACCAACCGCGGGCGGTGGACAGGTTCAGGTGAGCTCCGCTCAGGCCTCAGGCCCAAATCACTCGCTAAGTGACGGATGGGGTCACTCAACCAGCCAGTCCTCCTCCGTGCCCGCGGCAGATAGGTCCCCAAAAGTGCGTCGGATGGATGATGGAAGATCCCGCGGCCTTGCTCTTGATTTTCCTCGCGCACTACCCCCTCTCACCACAAGCATTCTACACCGTCTAGGTCTGCATATCGATCAGAATGCCTTAGGATTGTCAAATTCTTTCTCAAATTTCAAAAATCTCGTTTCCTCTGAAACGAGAAACTTCGAAACTTTACTCTTCCTCCCCACCGCACCCGTTTCTCTACGTCCGTCACTGCGCCAGACCCTCGCTCTCTCTCACTACGACAGTCGACCTCGCGCGTTCCTCTTGGCACGCCGATCGACGTCGCGATGAAGTCGGCAAAGACATCGTCGGGGGATACTCCCTCAAGTCGGAGGTCCCAACCCGTTCGACAGACACGAACCAACCCCCCGCGCGTCTCCTCTGGCCTTCGAGGATCAGCGAATGGCCGAGACTCACTTGCTGGCGGCTCTGCTTCTGACCAGCCCATCGACATTTATCCTGCCATATCCTACTTCTCCGATGCGATTGCGGCCCTCCCGAAAGAGCTCGTCCGACACTTTACACTTCTGAAAGAGGTCGATGCCAAAATATTCGCTCCCGAGGATGCGCTCTTCAAGCTCGTCGACGCTGCCATGAATGCCCCTCTTCCACAGCCCCGACCAGTGAACGATGCTTCCAGCAGTGTCGCACCTGCATCGGCTCCAATGAGTGCACAGAATAGTTCCAGCGGAGGACCGCTGGGTGGCCCGGCCCCTCCACCAGCTCCCTCGACCGACGGTTCCTATGCGACATCCATCTACGACCCGAGCAACTTTCCCCGTAGACAGCTTTTCCGACAGACGGCCTACAAGATTCAGGAGATGCTCGGGTCATTGGAAGAGAAGAACCATGTCATCTCGACCGCGAACGATGCACTCCAGAAACAGCTGGCCCGGATTGACGATGTCTGGCCGCACGTAGAAAACGAGTTTAGCGACGAGGCGAAGTGGGGGAGCGATACCCATTGGGCATACCCTGAGAATCGAGCTGCCACCAAGGCGGCACATACTGAGCGCTCACGGCGTGAGGGAGCTGCTGCGATATCGGCAGCCGCTCAACAGCTAGCTGAGGAGGCCGCTGCTCGAAGCGACGCACGCAAGCAGGCTGTCCAAGCTAAGAAGAGTCAAAAAACGCAGGCTCAGCCTCATGAATCCGAACTTGACGACGCTGAAGGTCGCAGCAAACCAGAACCGACGAAGAAGGGGCATGGAGGTGGCAAGGCACGCAAGGCAGCTGAGGCTGCTGCCAACGTCGGCTTGGGAATCTCAACAAATGGCAATACGAACGGAGCCGCGCCGCAACCCAAGAGACGCAAAGTTGAGAAAACTCCTAGTGGAAACAACGCAGCGGAGCGGGCCATGAGCACCGTCTTTGGAGCCACAGCTTCAAAGGCCAAGACGACAAGCCCGAGGGAGACCCCAGCGCCAGAAGGTGGCGGTCCGAAGAAGCGAAAGGCACTGCCGACGGGTACCGGTCAAGCAAAGAAGAGGTTTGTATTCTTCTGTTTGCGACAAATTGCCATCAAAGACTATGTACTGACGTCTTGTGTAGCAAGAATGGAGCGGCCGGCATGTCTCCGTCGGTTGCTTCGTCTCCTGTAATGAGCAACTTCCCTGACCCAGTGTTGCCTCGAGGCTCCCCCGCGCCGATGACTGTGACCCCTGTACCCCCAGCTCCCAAACCTCCCACTGCCTCGAGGGCCAAGCAAAGCACCACGCAAGCAGCTGTGGAAGGCGGTAAACAGTCTCGGCCGCCGTCGTCTGCCTCAGGAGCCAAGCCTAACGGAGCGGCCACGGCCGCGGCACCCCTGCCTCCGCCGACACCCGAAGCGGTGCCTCTTCCCGTCTTGCCGAAGCCTGCAGCCGAAGTAAAAGCTGCGTTCAAGGAGCCCTCTGCGCCGCCGGTGCCAGAACCGACAAAGAAAGAGCCCGATACGGCTGAACCGAGCATCAAGCCCAGTATTCCTGCGGCGAAGCAAAAGAAGGAAACACCGAAGCCCGAGGAGCCGGAGACGCCAGTGGAGACACCGGCACCAACTGCTCAGACGGTCACCGCTGCGACAGTGACAAAGAGTGGACGCGCCAGCAAGCCATCAACACCAGCCATGGCGACCTTCCAAGAGGCAGCAAGGCCTAAGTCAGCCCGCACTACGGACGGCACGAAGGCCAGCAAACGGAAGAAGAGCAGCGCGGTCATTAACACAAAGACTGCCAAAACAGCGGGCCAGCCCGAAGAGAGTGATGATGTAGATGAATCGGAGATTCAGGCGGGCAAACGCAGCTACGATTACACGGAGGATGAACCGACATATTGCTACTGCCAAGGTGTAAGCTACGGCGAAATGGTCGCCTGTGACGCAGCAAACTGCGAGCGGGAATGGTTCCATCTCAACTGCGTAGGCCTCAAGGTGGCACCTACCGGAAGCTGTAAGTCTTGATATCCGTTTGTGGTTGGCCGCTGGTGTTCGTATACTAACGTCAAACCAGCGAAATGGTATTGCGAGGTGTGCCTGCAAAAGTTTTCAAAGTCGGGCAAGAAGCTCAGCCACAAGTACAACGTGCTGCCGAATTCAACCAGTATCTCGGGCAAGCCACGACCCCCTTACGCCTGAGTCGGTTGTTACGAAGTAAATGTAATGGGCAACTGAGGGGTGGTATATACCACATTCCATATGGCGTTGGTTTGCATTCTGCTGTCTGGCATGGAAGTCGGGCGCAATGTCCTGGATACCTTTGAAGCATCGGGGGTTCGTTGTGGGAAATGGATTCAAGTGGCTCAAGGCATATACAAACTTGCTGTCCCTTTGCGAATGGAGTAAACAGTACATATTACTGGGATGACAAGAGGCGCGGGGTGTTTTTCTTTCTTTTTGGAGTTGTTCAACTGGGTTGTTTGGGACACACAGAGTCAGCAATCTGGCCCGTCATGTCGAAAGCGTTCTTGTCTTGTAACCCGTCATCTGCAATTGGCCACGGTCGGTAGTCCCTTTTTCGCTGGGCGTTAGACGAGCATCTACGAATACTTGAGAGCTACGGCTCAAAAAGGTTCAAACGTTTCTCCATGACTTGAGCACCTTAGTTCCCCGCCATTGAGTATTCCCCATGTCTTGAGAGATACCCCATTACTCGGCTCGTGGGGAAGAGAAAAGGCAGATTTCTTTCTTCGGACGGTTTCTTGCGTTCTGGCTTTCATGCCGCTCTTCCCCGGTGCTTTGGCCCCACGAGAGTTTCATACCCCGTGGGTTGTCCCGCCGCGGAAGCTAAGCCGGGCGTCGGACCTGAAGCTCCTCCTGCCTGCTCGTCCGGAGGAGAAAGGGGAAGGGAGTTCGTTAGGAAGGAGAGGTGTCCAAAATGCATGACATCGTGACTTTTTTTTTCAGTTTTGACCGGGCAAATGCGGTGAAGTGAGATCCGGCGGATTGCGGGGGGAAAGTCAGCTTGTGCCGTGATGTAGATGCAGGGGACCTCCGGTGGGATAGTTCCCTTCCGCTCGTCGAGGTACATATGCCAACGCGGTCTAGGCCCTTGGTTTCATCGAGTCGACAGAGAGAGAGATGCAAAGAGAGGCGAACAGAACGAACGACCTTGTGGCATCTAGTGTTCGACGCCGCCAATGCCCAAGTTTGGCCAGATTTCAGTGTAAGTACGGTAGATAGGTTGTGCCCTTCTCGACAAGTTGAGGAACGGCCCCCCTTATTTTTGTGACCCCGATGAGTCGGTGAATAAAAAAGAATGGGGGAGTACAAATATCAACAACCCCATAGTAGAAACAGAAAGAAAGAAGATTGCACTGGCTGTGACATGTCACATATTCATTTGGGGCTGGGATGTGGTTTTCCGGGGTAAACATCCCCACCTCTTGGCTCTTTGGAAATTTTCTCTTCAATCAAAGAAAACCAACAAAGGGGGTGGGCGCTTTCAGGATACGACTGTCCACAGGAGTAGTTGCGTTGGGCGTGAAGCTGAGGGGAGTGCAGGCGGCGAAAAAGTGATCTGAGGCTAAGTGGTGAGGCTACCTTAAGCGCGTGCCTTGAGGGTGTGCCGTTGTCCGAGGCAAGGTAGTACAACTTTCCTATCCGAGTTTGGTCAGGTTTAGATACGATATGGGAATAGGTTTTTGAGGGGAAAACCTGGGGTAATTTTGACGGGTCCTGAGTGGCTGGCTGGCTGGACTGATGGAGGGCATGAGCGGGCAGGCATCTTTTTCGTAGTATGTGTTGTCAACTTGACTGTGGGACAAACCCGAGTTTGCAACTTTGCAGTTTGGGGAAGGTTATGCCGCTTGCCTGCCCAATGGTTCGTCGATTGGCAAAACCAAGAGAGATGGTAAGACATGCACCAGGTACGCGAAGACCCCCTCTGACTTTGATGGGACCTCGCCTCCAAGGGACTTTCGTCCGTACTACGGATACTTGGAGAAGTCAAGTACCCCAGCACCCGCTAGGTCGACCTATTTCTCAGACCTGTTCCAGAGATGCCGGAGATGGGGAGTCTGGAGAAGGGGGAGGGGGGTTGGAACTTGGTTAGTATCGTCGTTTTGTGGCACTGTTGTTGTTTCTACGTTGCGCGTGACCGACCACTAAAGGGAAAACCATGACTACAACAGCTATTACTATGACTAACAGCAAAAGCACCATGACGGGGTCGGGGGCAAGTCAAAGAGAAACACCCAGGGCATTGGCATTGGCATTTGGTGTCAAGCCCCCCCTGAGCCCTGGCTTAGGTATCCTTTTTTGACAAAACGTGCGAGCAAAGCATGGCGCCATTCGATGGGGAGATGGAGACATTTCGCTTTCTCGACTAATGACTACTACGGCGTGTACGACGTATACGGCATTGGTGTTTTGGACAGATTTCGATCCAGCAGTACGCTTGCTTGCAGCCTTGCACACCCTGTTTTTTATCCCTTTTTTTCTGCTTTTTGCAATGCGCGTGACTCTTAGGACGACGGCTGTGTCGGTACCCACGGGTTTCTCGGTTTCGACGCTCATCTTATTCTGGTCATCAGACTGGATTCTCTCAGTTTCAGCAGTTAGTAAGTAAATTGAGCATCGAAGGCGGCGACGGGGCCAACAATAATAGCTGGGTGGGTGTGAGGTCCGATGCTTCGCTTTTACAATTTTGCAGCTCTCTCTCTTAAGGCCTAGGAGTCGATGGAAAGCACACATGATGCTGAACTAAACCGACCTAGACCCAACGCCGACAGGGTGGCACAAGGCGGTTGGCCTCGGTTCTGAACTTCTGTTACGCTTGTTTCTCTGGCCTTCTATGTTTACACTAGCCTCTGGCTTTCAGGGGTGGATAATCTGGGGCAACACCACGCGGCCCCCAGCGACCCCAACCTTTTTCGAACCCGCCAACCGGAGATCCGCTAGGATGCCACGGGTGCTAGGATCTTCCCGCTCATTCGTACGAGTGCTTCGTACCTGTCTGCTCTCCTGCCTTTCCGTTTCTTGTGCTACCGTAGCAGGTCACAGGGTCTGAGCAGGGAGAGACAACGCCGTCGGCGGCATCAAGTGGTGAGAGGGCTAGATCTGCAGACAGACAGACGTCGGGAGTCTTGCGATTCGTACGTCTGATCTGGGCTTAGGTATTCCTGTGTGCGCGCCAATGTGTAGGAGCTAGGGATCCGGAGACTCATTTACTCAGCCAGCCAGTTGCACGAGATATAGTAGAGAGAGCTGCAAAATAGTTGACCATGTCTGTTTCTTGCTCTACCAAGTAGACTGGCATGGACATGTAATGATCTACCCGGGGACGGTACTCGAGACCTGGGGAACTGCTCGCCCTGCGCTCGGGAAGACCTTCCAGGCGGGCCTTTTCGCATTTCAGCTCGGAACCCCCTTGGGTCTTTGGTACCGCCTCAGACTCAATTCTTTTGCCTGCCTGAAAAGAATGCGCGTGCTCGCTTCGTTCCGGCAGTGAAAGGTCAGATGACCGGTTGATGAGGTGGCCCTGGAGCATCCCGTCCGTATCCGGTCGAAGAACGGTTTTGAAATGCCAAGCACTCCTGTCTGTCCCTGTCTATCCGGATTGCTGGGGAACTGGACAGACATTTGTTGTTGTTGTTCTCTCTTTGGTCAGAGGTGCGTGGTTCCGATCGGGCGACCATCCGACAACCGGAACGGCCGTCTCGGGTGCGGTACCGGTCTTCTGTCGGCTTTGTCGTGGATTACACTACGTAGTCAGCGACATCGCAAAACCCAAAGCTCACAGTGACAGAGATGGAATGTTAGCGGGCTCTCTCGGTGTTTGAGATGGAGCGCCGCTGGCACCGCGCTCCCTAGAGCCTGGAAATGCCGAGCCGAGGAGATGCTCTTTCCTGGCGTGACTCTGTGTCACTGTGTGAGGGTAACGGTGTGCGTGTCTGGGAGTGAGATTTCCTCATCTTACCGGAGATCAAGTCTTGTCGTCGACGATCTCTGGCGCAAAAGGCTGCATTTGCTGCAAGAGGTGTCTTGGATTTGGATGTCGTTGTCGATTTGCTTTTATTCTTATGCACCTAGAGAGGTTGCGTTGCGGTACAGAGTGAGGTACTTGGTAGTGTACTGTACGTACCCAAAGGCAATGTAACGCTGCATCAAAGTGCGAGCAGGGCAGGCACGCAGGATTCAGGAATAGAAGGAGTGGAGGGCAAGGCAGGTACTTTCTGCAAAGTCTGGGCTTAGGTAATCTGACGTCCTCTAGGGTACTTGCGTGACTCGACTATTCAGAGCGAGCTTTGGGAAGCATTGGAGAGCTTGGAGAGCATTGGAGACATGCTGAAAAGTTTTCCCAGTTTCCATTAGTCGACAATTGTATCCATTACGTTTCCGAACCGCACTTCTTCGCCTCATCTGATCACTTCCCCAAGCCAAGCTTTCCAATTACACAACCACGCAGCCAGTTCAGCTCCCAGACGTGACCCGGCTCTCAGCTCTGCGCAGCTCTCGGCCCCAGCGTGTGCTGTCACACAGTCACGGTCACACTTCTCCCAGTCTCTTCCCCGTCATTTTCTGATGTGGAATTGGATCGTCCCTTTTTTCTTCTTCTACGAATCCCGAGCCATCATCCATGTTCCCTTGGACTCGGTTCTGGGCCCCGATATTTTCTCTCGGTTTTTTTTTTTTTTTCTCTTTCTAGCGGGACCGAATGACCGACCACCATCGACCGACTTTGCCTTGCCAGCCGCTCAGCTTCCGTACGCTATGGTCGCGGCTCGCTGTGGTCATTCCAACTCCGTTGCCTGACCTTTACATCACCCTGCCTGCTCATCGAATTACCATTTTCACAACCCGGGATGGCTATGTCTACATCCAGTCAGACAACGGCCTGTCCGGGGCAAGGTTGGACAAGTGCGGAAGACGACCATTCCTTGACACATCTTGCGCATTCGTTTAATGACTGAACAAACCTGAGCAATGATGTTATGCTTCAGCTCATTGCCTACTGGCTCAACTCGACACACCCATGACATTCTCATTACCAAATACCCGTCCAATGGTTGGTTGCCGGCCTGCTTCGTGTCGCCAGCATTTTTCCTCCTTCGCCAGCCCATTCGTTCTCTTTTCCCATCCGGACCTGGTGTTGTTTGACCGGTTCATGTCCCTGGACCATGGACCTTGACATGGACCACCATACCCGACGGACATCGTCTACCGTCCGTGAGCACGAGGAAGCAAAGCATGTCACCTGGGCGCGGCACGCCAGTACCGCCGTACCGCGCCGTGTCATGTACGGACAAGGCTCCGCCTCCATCTGGATGAAGCTCTGGATGCTCATGTGACGAGGCAAGTCTCCATTCCTTTGTTTCCATTACCCAATTTTTGGCCAAGAGCAACCCTTTGCCTCTTCAACTTGCTATATTAATCTGCGGGCCGCTCACACTCACACACACACGCCCGGCTACTAACGCCCAGTGCAAGCCACTCTTCCGCATGACATTAACGAGACGTCCTCAATCCTAACCTGCCTCTTGCGATACTGGTTACCTTACCTTACTGTACGAAGTACACGCCCAGTCCCAAACTCCCAAGGACCTAAACCCAGCCCATCCAACCCAATATCCTGATCCTAATCCAGCCCAGACGCGATCCGTTGGATGACTCTATCCCAATCCGCCCCTGTCTCTTGATTCTCACGCCCCGTATACACCCTTATACATAGAGTATCTACTTCCCTCTCCCTTTCCCACCCCAATATCACCTCAACGATTGCGAAGAGCACGTCTTGTCTTGTGCCACGCACTCCCTTCACCCCCTCGTCTCGTCTCCTTTCCCCAAGTTCCAACGTTCCCTGGTCTTGGTCTAGTAACATCACAAACGGTTGAGGTTGGACCACCTGAACACGCCAAACCACCATCTTCCCCGCATCACCATAACTTCCTCTTACCTAAAAGCCCCGGTCTTTGACTAATAGAAAAGTCGCTTCTGGCTTGCTCTGTCGACGGACCCGGGCCCCCGGTCTCGTCTTTCCTACATTGCAGCTCACACTTTTTTTTACGCTTTGCCATACGACTAGTCTCTTTCTACCTTACCCCGGCTTGTTCAGAAAGAAAGGGAAAGAAAAAAAACCAAGACAGTGGAGAAAACGTGTGTGCGTTTGGTGGTGTGTCGTGCAAACCATTGAAACAACGAGCGCAGCGACCCGGACCTTCAAGGTCAAAGTAAAGTTCCTGCAGCCATGGCTTCTCCGCGACTTCTCCAACCGCAAACCTCGTCCCAGGACCACACCTTACACACCCCCCCAGGCACTCCTCCGACAGGCCACAACCACACTCAGACTCTCGTCGAATACAAAATGGACAGCCCAGAGCCGCACCGACCTGCTACCCCGGAAAAGAATGGCAGATCCTCTTTCTCGTCCATTCGCGAGAACGACTCCGACTTAGCCCAGACGTTCACTTCCTCAAAAGTCTCTTCCTACGCACAGAAAGCAACCAACGCCGTGTTCGACGACTCCTCTGCCTCACCCTCGCCGATCGCCTCACCTTCCCTCGAGATGGCTGAAGTTCAGTTCATGCCCCCCGTTACCCACCCCAGCAGCAGACTTCATGGCGGCTGGTATCCTGCCTCCAGCTTCAAGGGCTGGAAGCAAATCAATGTCAAGGGCAAGACGGCTAGCAAGAGCTTCAGTGACCTCCAGGCACTGCACATGTCATGGAGCACCCCTCCGCCTTCACCCAAGGGCAACAAGCCTGCCAACTGCCGCGCGCCCATGGAGAGACTGCCATTGGAGATTCTAGGTACGTTCACAGTCTTTTGTCATGGAACCTCGCGAAGCTGACAATGTCAAAGGATCCATTATCGAGCTCCTGGTCCTCGACATCCCTCCGCCGTACGGCACCGCGCGTCGCAACGTCGACTTGATGTCCTTGCTTCTGACCTCGAGATCGGTGCACGCCGCAACCCTCAACACCCTGTACAAGCACATTACCATTCCTCACTCGAGAATCTTTCGCAAGTTCCTGTCCAACATCACAACACACCCTGCACTAGGCACCATTGTACGGCGCATCGACTTTAGCCACTTCAACAACGCGACCCTTTTCGAGTCTGCCAGCGAGCGCAAGGGCACGCGGAACCTGACGGAGGAGACATTGTTGCAATGCTTGGAGCTTACACCGCACCTCCAAGAGTTCCTGGCTATGGAGCACATTGACGATGACCTCGGCGCCGAGGTGATGCAGAAGCTCTTCTTCGGCATGCCTCGCCTGCAGGCCTTGGACTTTGCCGGGTGCACATCACCGTCTTTCAAGAATTCCTTCGCATCCCTGGTAGACATGGACTGGCCCGAGACGCTTTCGATTACTCGCCTCTCCCTTCACAAGTGTCTGACACTCCCCCCCGCGCTTTTCGAGAAGATCATGCCACGCCTCACCAACGTCACGCACCTAGACCTTGCCCAGACCAAGATCACCGACCGAGCGCTGCAGGCCATCCCGAAGACGGCCAAGATTACCCACTTGAACCTCGCCAAGTGCACACTGCTCACGGCGCCCACCGTTATCAACTTCCTTGCGACTCATCCGGCGGTCAGGAACCTCGTTTACCTGAGCGTGGCCACCGATGCTCGGAGTCACCAGCTTCTGGATGTGGAGGACGTTTCGCAGCTCATCCCTGTGCTGCCCAAGACGCTTCGGTCTTTGAGCCTAAAGGGTAGCCGCATGGATGACTCGCACCTTGAGTTACTGCGACCTCTGACCAAGTATTTGGAGGAGCTCGCCGTCGGGCGCGACATGGATGTCAATGCCGCCGCTAAGCTGCTTGAGCCGGCGGACGAGAAGAAGCAGGAGGAGCCCCACACAATCCGATACCTGGACCTTTCGGACCTCTGGGGCAGCGAGTTGGACATCGTGGATTTGTTTTCGAGCCGAAACTCGCTGCTAAAACCGAGCTCGGTGCCACTCGAGGTGGTTGAGATCTCGGAGCAATCTTTCAAGAGCCTATCTCGGAATAGGGCACTGGAGCGCGTCGGCTGGTCCCTGCAGGAGATCGGAAGCCGATGCTGGATGGTCCGAATGCAGGACCACCGCAAGGATCAGGACCGCGGCTACCGGTGGTGGAAGATTGGCGCCGACAACTGGGGCATGCGCAAGATCCCGGTCGCGCGCGCCGAAGTCGGCGGCATGTACGGGTCCTTTATGTTTGGACGCAAGCTATGAATCACATGCACATCGCAAAATCGCATGGGAAATCGAAATGGAAGAAAAGGGAAAGGGAAAGGGAAAGCATTTGCATTTGAATGCATCGACCGAAAAACAAGCGACCAACATCATCAGCATTTGATTCCCTCGCCTTAGCCTTGGCCTTGGTTTTTTTTTTTTTTTTTCTATTTTCTTAGTTGTTTTTCTTCTTCTCTCTTCTCTCCTCTTTCATCATTCATCGTACGGAGTCGGGATACCAAAACCAAAAAAGTGCATTTGAATTTCGGGGCGGGAAATGGTCAATGATACTCGGAGCTGTGGCGGGCTTAAAAAGGCCAAAAAAGATGGGTGGATAAGAAGCAGCATTTGACGGCCTCTGCAAGCAAGAAAACAGCATCAGCGACGATCAATGACTTGGCTTTGATGTACGTTATTGAAACGAATAGCATAATATCTAACATTTATGCTCAGTTAAAACCAATATGTCTGTTTGGCAAATGAAACCCAGTGGTGATTTTTGTGGCCTTGTTCTCCTACATTGTCGGGTTGCTATTGCCATTACTGTCGCAGTAAACAATGGCTGGAAACCAAGAAGCTCTCAGCGTACCTGCAGTGGCTACATCATCGTGCCGTCACAGCGAACCTACAAGGTCAGCATACCCCTGCACCGGGATGCGCTCCTAACTTCTGTCGCCTGGAAAATTTCACCTTAGGTAAGCCAGATCAGCTCTTGGCAGAAAGTTAACTCATCTTTTCCCTCTCATACCGTGGCCTCGGTGCAGCCTTACGCGCTGACCCCATCCACTTACTATCAACCTCCAAAAAAAGAACACTTGTCAGCCTCGAGCTCCAAGTAACGTACGGACATTCTCGACTTATTTTGCCCTTTCTCGAGAAGCTCCCCCGACTTGGTACTTGGACGCATCACATATCAGCGCTTGCTCGAAAGCAAGTCGCCGCCGTCGTTGGCCCGTCATGGCATTTGGCTGGTCAGAGTAAGTAGCCACATGTCCCTCCCTCCACTCTCACGTACCCCATACCCCCAACTACATCATCGCCAAATTCGCGACATCACCACCAATGCCCGTCAAGAGGATTAAAACTAATAGCTACATCATCGCCAAATTCGCGACATCACCACCAATGCCCGTCAAGAGGATTAAAACTAATAGCACAACTACCACAACTGCAGAATCCGCTCTCTACTTCTCGTCTTCGGCCCGATCCTCCTTCCCAAGGCAGTCTCAGCCTACAAATCTATTCGAAATGCCTCCCAACACAGCGGCGAACCGATTCCCCCTCCACCCCGCATAGCCCGCGCCCTCGCCATCCTCACCATCATCGTAATCGTCTACCTCGTCAAGACCCTCCCGCCCCTGGCCCCGGAGAACCTGTTCACTCTCACCCAGTCCCGCCTCCAGATCCCCGTCGACGTCCTTTTCAACCGCCTGTCGTCCCTTCGCCCGGAATCCGCCCTCACCGCTGCCGACGAGCGCCTCCGCGCCCGCTTCGTCAACCTCGAGTCCCGCCTCCTCTACCTCCAGCTCGGCCCCGCCGCCCTCGCAGACTGCCCCTTTTGCAAGTCCGAGGACCCCAAGTCCTACTTTTACTACGCGCTTCCCGCCATCATCCTGCCCCATCTCGTCAACCTCATCGCCCTCGCCGCCGTCACCTCCTCCACCTTCACCGGCCGCGATGGTGCCCGCTGGCGCTCCCACGCCACAATGGCCGCCGCCGCCCTCGCCGCAGCAGACGCCGTCCTCGTAGGCCAGTACGACTACTCCGCCAATGCAACCGCCCTTCGCCTCCAGGACATGGACTTCTTCTACTGGCGCGCCCGCGCGCTACGCTACATCGCCCTCGCGGCCCTCGACGTCGGCATCGGCGCTCTTCTGTTCCTCTCTGGCACCCGCCGCGCTTTCGTCCTGCCGCCCTCGGAAGCGGAGCGCATCGAGGCGAGCAACCGCGTCCTGACGACGGTCAAGAGCAAGCTGAATGCGCTGGGTATCGTCAAGAACACGTCGATGCGCGACGAGGAGCTGCGGGCGCGGAGTCAGGCGTATTGGTTGCGCGAGGGCCAGATGGTACGCGAGGCTATGGAGGAGAGGGAGGTTGTTGAGAGCGTCAATGACGCGTTGGAGAATAGGATCAATATACAGCAGGTCACGAGCGATGCTGAGAATTATACCGAGGGGGTGTTCCGACAGCCGGAAGGCACTGCGCAATGAGCGGCGCGGTGTGTGATCTTCTTCAGTTGGCAGTTTAGAGTTGATGCTTGGTGGTGTATAGATAGCCACTGCAGCATCTCAAGTAGAGAATAAGAAGGAAGCGTATAATTATGGATGGGTCTAGATGCGATGAGCTTTGCGTGAACTAGAAGTGAAGTCATATTGGTGTCTAATACGTCTCAAGGGCCAGTGATCCATCGCAAAGTAATTCCGTGAGCCCATGTTCCCAACTCATCCCTTCCTGTTCCTCAATTACCTTATCCCATCGTAACCTTGATTCCAATAGTCTCCTGCCGGAGTGACACCAGACCTTCTTACTCTACGCGAACAAAGAATAGAATCCAGCAGACGGAGCAGGTATGGCCAGAAAGAAAGCGTACAGGCTTGGCGCTCATCATACCGTACCGTACAGCACTTACCAAACATTCATCCGATAACCTTCCCCACCACCTGAATACACAAACCCGAATAATCACACAGAGCAAAGCCTTCATATACCCCCTATACCCCATTCCCGTCACCAGCCAGCAGGCGCCCGTCTAGGTCGACGGGTCAGGTCAAACTGGCTGTGTGGTGGAGTGGTTCATGGTCAACAATCGATTTATACGCCAACCAGCCTACTCGACGACAGGCTCAGCTAGAGTATCCCGAGTTCGAATCCCAGCATGAGCACCAAGAGATGTAGGTAGCCACACCGGTGGTGAACTTTTTTTTTTGTCTTTAATGGTCCTCATATCTATGACTTGTTTTTAGTTTTGTTTGGGCAAGTGCAGTGAATGGTTAACTACACACAAACGTCCACCCGTCCCGGGAGAAGTACCCAATGATGATGGTCTTTACACACCCCTATGCTCCCGAGGCTGGCAGAAATGAATACACCGGTGGGGTTTACCACCTCTATGCCTCTGCACCTCTTCACCCCATAACTACATCTTACGCGGTCCACGACGACCTCCACTAGCTGCCGCCCCGTCCCGTCGCCGCGCTACTCCCGCTGTCCTTGCGATCGCGCGGTGTCCCCGCCGACGAGCCCTGGTCCAGGCCCTCCTCGGCGCTGCGCTCGAGGAAGCCCGCCCACAGGTCCGCGAGGGACTCCTTGTTCGCCGAGGTGGGCGTCTCGGAGAAGAACTCGGCGCTCAGCGACGGGGTGCTGGGCGTGCGGTGGAAGGGGGAGGCCGGCAGACGGAGGATGCTGCTTGACGCGCCCGGCCTAGCGAGCCCGGCCTGCTCGCGCTGCTCGTCCGTCCAGTTGAGGTAGCCGGCCATGACCTGCAGGATCTGGAAGCGCTTGGGATCGGAGCGGTCGATGGTGAGGAAGTGGAGGAGGTGGTTCGTCACGACTTGTCTAAGGGGGTGTGTTAGTTGGTCTGCGGTTGAGGGCCGTAGTGCAAAGAGAGGTCACAATACCTATCAACATTGTCTTCTGGTTTCGTCTTTTTCAGGTAACGGAGAGCCTTGGTGAGATGGTCATTGAGCACAATGGCCTCGTGCCGCAGTTTGCCAATCAAGAGGTTCTTCTCCTTGACCTCCTTTTCGAATGGCGCTGTGCGCTCGAGCTCCTTGGTGAGGGTTTCCTTGGCCGACTCGGCCTCGGTAGCCCGGGTATCCGCCTCTTGCACAAGCTTCTTCATGGCTTGCAGCTGCTCTTCTGACGTCTCAACCATCTCCCGCAGCTCCTTCTTCCGCGCATCCTGGATTTCGCGAAGGGCCTTTTGCAAGTTGTCAATGACCTGCGATTGCTGATCTCGCTCGGACGCGGCGCTCTCGTAGCCGTCCCGGAGACCGGCAATCTGCTCCTCCAGCTCCGTCACCTTCTCGACCAAGCTCTCCTTGACGGATCGCTCCTCCATGGCGATGACCTCCCACTCGCCCATGGCGTTCGTCGTCGTCTCGACTTCCTCTTTGAGATTGGCGACCAGCCTCATCAGCTCCTCGCGCTCCTTGACCCAGTTCTGCTGGGACAGGTTGCTTCGACTGCGCAGACTTGTCGCCTCACGCGATGTGTCCTGCAGCTCATCCCGGAGCTTCGCCACCTCTTCCTCGGATGCCTTGGCGCCGTTCTGCAGCTCTTCATTCTGGGACTCGAGCTCCTCGATGCGCTCCTTGGCCTCTTCCAGCTCGGCGCGGTCGCGCTTCAGTCTTTCGCCGAGCGTCGACTTGAGGTGGTTGACCCGCTCGAGGAGACCCTGGTAGTTCTCTTCTGCCTGTTCCTTGGCCGACGATGTCTCCTCGAGTTCCGACTTGAGCTGGGTGACGGTCTCGTGGTGTGTTCCCTGGATTGTCTCCAGCTGCTTCCTCAATTGCTCGACCTCTGATCGCAGCGCCTCTCGTTCCTTTGTGAGGGCGTCCAGCTTTGCCGTGGCATCGGGGTTGGTTTCCTGCTCCTCTGCGGCCGCCTCTATCGGGGGATTCGCATGTCCGTTGCTCGTCGGCTGTTCCGTGTGGCCATTGGCTGTTGTGCCTTTGTCCGTTGACTGTTCGGGGCTGGATTCTTCTATCGGTGCAGAGGCCTACGATGGCAGTCAGCCAAGCTGGGCTTTGCGGGGGGATCAAGGGAGTATCACCTGCACCGGGGTTTCCGGTTCATCATCGCCATCCTCTGCATTCTCGGGCAGAGGAGGCGCGCTGTCTGTGTCTATGGGTTCCTTGGGCTTGTTGGCGTTGTTCTTCTTCTTCTTGCCGCTCTTCTTCTTCCCTGCAAAGTCCCCCGTTAGCTTGGGGCCGCGCATCAACGTACACGCGGGAAGGATTCAATCGGGGTCACGAACCTGAAGATGCGTTTTGAACCGGATCAGTGGAGGGAGCGGCGGCCGACATGTTGTCTTCTCAGATGCATCGGGATGGTGTGGATAGCCCTTTGAGCTGGTGGGCGCGGAACGGGGGAAGCTCTTCTTCTTCTTCTTCTCGAGGGTCCGGTTAGTTGGGAATTGGGATGTCGACAGTTTGCACCTGGGCGGGTTTGCATGTAGGTACTTACACCACGTAAGCTAGGTTCGCAAATTAGCGAGCGTGTTCACTTCCCACGCGGAACCTAGGGTGCTGCTCCCCCGTCCCCCACACTAGGTAGGTGGCCACTGAGCTCCACAGAAAGGTACCGATAGCGAGGTGTATTAGCTAAGGCCTGGTGGACACGGCGCTTAAACGCTGGGAACCGTCCAGTCGAGCCAGGACGTGAACATTGTCATCGTAAACACAATCGTGATTTTAATCCTAGAGCGTCATGTATTTTTCATTGAGCTGTTCGGACTCTATCCTTTTCTCAGTCTTATGATATGGACGAGAAACCTGCAATTTTCATGCTGGATTTCACGGTTTGCTATGAGCACAGAATCGATACATGAAACGGTGGCCCTAGCAGGTGGTCAACTGACTTACACGAGCCACACTTTGAGGCTTGCACTTTCTGTGGCTCGACCTGCTAGTTGTGAACAATTTTGGATAAGTCTTGTATAAAGTGATGCCTAGGAATCAGAGTATCATGAAATAATTCAATGTGGCACCTTTCCTCGTTTAAGACACCTCGAACAGCTTGTTTGTTTTTCGTACAAAGTGCACCTCTGGATCAGCTGGCGCAAGTCCGTCCACGGTTCACAACCATGGGACTGAGGTGGGCAGATGGCGGGTCCTTCGCTTAGTCATTCTTATCTTATCGCCCAAAGCCCTCAAGAAGCGTCTCCGTCTGACGGAAATTTTCCCGTTTCCTCTTTCCTTCTTCACATATTTTACCCTTCGCTGAAATATCACTAGAGCAAGCGCATTTTTCCCAATGACTTGTTCATTTTTGACGCTGAAGTAGAGTGATTTAAACGCCTTTTATAATCCCGGTGCTTGCCCCCAACCTTTTGGGTTGAAATGGGTGCGACGGGTTCGCTATGTGCGCACATACTAACTTGATCCCTTTGAATTATGTCCCATTTTGTTCTTGATGCAACGACTCCTGAGCGACAGAAACACAAGTAGAATACCTGATGCCAAATAACAGAAAAAACACAAGACTTTTCGTGAAACCCAAAGAGTTGGAGAGAAACAGTTCCGTCGTAAGGAGGGATATCATTTAAAAAAGAGCCTCTTTTAACCCCTGGACTTTCTCCTCTTGCCGCCCTTAGGCGTCGCCTTCTTCGCAGACTTGGGCGTCTCAACCTCGGCAACCTTCTCCTCCTCCTTGGCAGCCTCCTCCTCCTTCTTCTCCTCCACCTCAACCGGCGCAGCCTCGATAGCCTTGGTCTCCTCGGACGCGTCGACAGCCATGGGCTCAGGCGGCGGCGCAACAGCCTCCTTCAACTTGGGCGCCTCAAACTCGTACCCGATAGCCTTGAGCTTCTCGGCGCGCTCCAGCCTCTTCTTCTCCTCCTTGGACACCTTGTGCGTCCAGTCGGACTCGGTTCTCTGCTTGGCCACCTCGCCGGCGGCGATCTTGTGCCAGGGGATCTTCTTGAAGCGCTTGTTGGCGCCCTTCCAGACGTCCTCGTGCAGCTGGTCCGCCGGCACCGTCTTCACCTTGAGAATGTGGCCGAACAGCAGGTAGCTGTCCATGGTCTTGGCCACGATCTCGGCCGTGCTGGCCTCGGCGAACTCGAGAAAGGCGTAGTGCTTGCTCGCGCCGGATTTCTTGTTGCGCGCCAGCCGGAGGCGGGTGATGTTGCCAAACTGTGAAAAGTAGCCCTTGAGCTCGTGCTCGTAGAAGCCGTGGGGCAGCCTGGAGATGAAGACCACGCCGGGCTCTTCCTTCTTGCCGTTTGTCAACTGCTTCTGCTTCTTGAACTTGGGCACCTTGCCCACGTCCTGACCCGACTTGAAGACGGTGCCGTCGCCGGCTGGCGCGTCCTCCGGATCCAGGCCGGCGGCGAGGGCGGCAATGTCGGCGTCGACCTCCTCGTCGTCATCCTCTTCCTCGAACGCTACGACAGAGGTCTCGGCATCCTCGGTGGCTTCGGGCTCGGCCTCCTTCTCCTTCTCTTCCTCCTCGACGGGCTCGGCGGGCGCGGGGGCGGCAGACTTCTTCGACTTGGCGTTCGCCTTGACGGGCTTCTGCTTCTTCGCCGCGACGGGAGAAGCTTGCGCCTCCTCGGGAGCTGCTCGGGAGCATGGTGGTAAGCCAATGCAACATCGTTAAAATCCAATTGGGACACACCTTTGCGCTTGGGAGCCTTCTCGACCTTCTCCTCCTTGGTGGCCTTCTTGGTCACCTTCTTGGGCGCCTTTTCAGTCGCAGGCTCAACCTTTTCAACCTTTTCGACCTTGGCCGCCTTCTTCGCCACAGGCTCCTTGCCAGTGACGGCTGACAACAAATGTTAGTTTTTTAAAGTAAAGGAACGTTCTTTTACAGCTTGTCAACTTACATCTGGTTCTTTTTCTCAGTTCGGGGGCCATTTTTGCTGATGTGTTTGGGGGAGCAATGGTTAGACAAAGTCCCTGGAAAACCGAACCTGTACCCACACGCATTGGTCGAGTACCGTCGCAAAAGGCAAAAAAAATAAAAATTTCCTAGATTCTGCCGTCCCGAGGTGGAGGCGGTGAGACCATGCGACCCCGCTAAACCCGCTAAGCGCGTGCTTCCAGCTGCCCCGAGAACGACTTTAAAGTGGGCTCATTTGTACTGCATGTGCGCCTGTAGTACTGTCCTTGAGCGGTGTTGCAGCACCTATCTACTCTTTACCAGTGAGCTGAGGTTGCCTTTAGTTACCTGAAAGGAACCTAACACCTAAGGACTGGAAACCCGTCAACGAGGTTGATGCACAACTAGTGCCTCTCACAAACCTCAGGCTGGGATCTCATGTGAAAGAACAGCACTATCATCTTGCCATCTTACAACCAGAACGACTTCGTCTTGACGACTCCACAAGAACACCACCCGGCCGCATATTCACCGCAGTCGAGTCTGATAATTAAGAGAGAACAATTCAACCAACGGCAGTCACAAAAGTTCTCACTCGCCATATTGCCAAAAACGCATCACAAAACTCGACATATCTCACCAGTGACCCATCAGGACTTCTCACCTTCACGAGCTTAACTAAGGAGTGCCAATCGTCCGGCGTAAATCTCCCCTGGTTCGCCCAAACTCATCAAGAAGCAACACCGTCCATACCTCTGGCGCCAACTTTACAGTCAGTAAGACTAGAGGGGGCTTACTCACAGCAGACTGCCCTCATAGGTGCCCTTATCGTCAATCGGAACGCCATTGTCTTCAAGAGAGCTCGCTCCGATCCAGCAAAATGGCCGGCAACGATGTGGAAATGTCGCACAGTGAGATGTGGGACGACTCTGCGTTGATAGAGTCATGGAACGAGGCTCTGGACGAGTACAAAGTAAGCGACAGATTCAATCTCATCAGAGGAGGGGGAGGGGGGGAAGGAGAATGCAATACTCGTGGAAGTAAGAGTAGTCAGTCGCTAACCAACCTTGCAGAAGTATCACAGCATCCACGCAAAGGGAGGCAAGCTCAAAGACCTTGATCTTCAGGAGAAGACGGAAGATGCCCAGTACGGCTAAGCCCTCTTTCTTTAATCACCCCCAAGACCCAAGAACTCTTTCCCCGAGACTCTGACACGTTAATGATCTACGCAGGACCACCAACGACGCGCAAACGCAGGCCGTCGATCAGCCAGAGATCGCGGATGATGCTGCAGAGAGAGCCGACAAAACAAAGGGGTTGAGCAGCACAGATGTAAAACACCCCCCGATGATGAACACCCTCCCCAGATGAAAATCCAGGCAGATCAAAAAAGCTTGGCTTTCTCTGTTCTCTACCTCGTCGTTATGCAGCAAACCTCTATCTTGTTCGCTTCCGCTAACGTCTTCCTTGCTTGTCCCGATCTAGGTCCAGGACCAGGCAGATTCAACAGGTGTGCCCATGACAAAGGCCAATGCCCCCCTGGGGCCTGCGACAATGGGCCCGCAGAGTCTTCTCGGATCAGGTATGTAAACGACCCCGGACTGTCCAGAGTTGGGACGGCAGTTGCAGAGTAGCCTCTTTTGAACTTGGACAACGGACTGACTGAGGAACCCCCTTTCTTCGGGGTTTGTAGTGCAAGACGAGGGTTTGAAGAGACTTTTGATGTCATGGTACTATGCTGGCTACTACACAGGATTGTACGAAGGCCAGCAACAGCAGCAGCAGCAGCAGCAGCAATAGCCGGGACCAGACAGATGCCAAAAGTAGATAGTGTGAGCCAATCGATACCCAGTGAGAGAGCGGCTGCAAGTGCGACGACGAGGCTGAGCGGACTTGAGCCTGGCCGGCTGGGACACGCCAAATGCAAGGTTGTGTGGGGAATGGGGTGAGGTTGGTCGTCCTGAAAAGCGGCTATAAGAGAGTTTATCTGATCGACGTGCGGGAGGGCGAGTTCTGTAACACGATCTGTTCCATCGTCCGATGATGCAACGGCGCCACACCGTTCCATGTCTGAGGTTCGCCGTGGCATGTGTCACACGAACGACAGGAGCAGCAACGTCTTCAATCAGCAGCCTCTTGATTCGTCTTTTCTATCCCGTTGTCTGCTTGGCTCTTGGGACGGGGGAATTTAGGATGCGGTCCAAGTCGGGGTCGGGCGAACTTGGCCTGGCGGACCCAATAAAATCTATCATGACTGCGACAGGAAGAGAAAAAAGGCTAGTGGAATCATGTCGGCTATCCAAGAGTTCGTTTTGTTTCACCGTGGAAGGGTCTAGGCTTGGTTGTTTCTCTCCGAGAGGCAACGCCCCAGCAGAATGCGTGTCGAGACTTTTTTTTTTGTTCTGACCGTCATCGCGCAGATGCACTTGGGCGGATAACGAGGCAATGTGCGGCGACCAGACCAGTCTCTGAACAGAGAGATTCCTGACAAGGCCGCCACGCCGCGGGCGGGTATACAAGAGATGGCACTCGTTAGTGCAGGCCGGCCAAGAGGTCTTGGGTATGATGAAGGCGGCCCAAGGGGATTTAGTTGAGATGACTCTCTGTAGGGTTGCGATCGGAAACAAGTCGAAAGGTATTGGATGGAAACGTGGAGTTGCAATGTTCCACCGATCCGCGGCCTCGACAATTCAAGAGTCAAGACTCATCCGGGCGTTTTCAGAGTGGACTCGCGTATCCGCGCATGCTGTCATGAACCGACTCCCGTACAATTTGTTTCCCCTATTGGTGGAGTGTTGCTCGAGAATCTGCATGGGCGTGATGCATCAATTGTTCATGGCAGCATGGCGCTTTCCTGGGCCGCTCTATCCAGAAGGTTTACACAATGAGCGTGGAGATCCTCCGGACCGGAGTCATGTTGCATAGGACGGACGTCCATCCTAAAATGAGCGATGCAGTGGATAACACGGCGCGGGTACGACGGATAGGATTAGGTTGGACTTGACAGGAGGCCGATGCCTTCTTTCGGCCCATGCCCGAGGAGGCTGGCGATGCGCTGTATACGTACGTCAGGCTGACCGAGCCACTGAGCCGCGAGCAGTAGCACAAGCAGGGCCGCAGATGGAGATGACTCCTGACATGACAAGTATCGGCGGAAGGAAGGATGCGTCAAGTGTTGTATCGACAGTATTGTGCACAGTCAGTCTCCTTGCGACTAGGACCAAGAAATGACGGGATGATGGTATGATGGCGGTGCTGGAAGGAGAATAAGCCGATGTCTAGCGCTGTCGGTGGACCTGTGTCAAGACAAGGCTGATGGTTGCACCAAAGTCCTATAGAAGCAGATAGTGTAGGAGCGGTCGGTTAGGATGGTTCCTGATGCTTGTTGGACAAGAACAGGGCACATGGATGTATTTGTGGTTGTCTTGGAAGTTGGGATCATGGATGGGACGGAGGAGTGGGAGGGTCCGTCGTAAGGTAGGCGTAGTAGTAGCGGTGTGTGGCGGCTGACAATGGCGGGTGAGATGAGCAAAGTTAGTTGGAGGACTGGATGACGGCGAGATTGGATTGGGCCGTGTCTATCTGAATGGCTGAATGTCTGTGAGTGTGTGTGTGTGGGCTCTCTTGCAAGTTGCAACAGAGAAGTCTTGGACGAGTCTTGGTGTGTGGACCGGGAAGAGAGTTGCCCGTGACCAAAAGACACGATGAAAAGAGGATAAGGTAGGTAGGGTAAAAAGGCAAAGGGGGAAGAGGGGAGAGGGAGAGGGGGCTTGTTTCAAAGTCTTCATTGGCCGTTTGAGGCGGCTGTACGCCCAGCATCAAGGTGCTTGGAGACGCTGACACGCCTGGTTCTCGCGATGCCTTGCTATCCGTGCCGACTCATGCCGGGATTGCGGGCAGATGGGGAGAAGACCGCTTGAGCCTTAGGCTGGTGCCAAAGAAGCCGAAAACCGAGATGGTGCGGGATGATGGCGTTGCAACTTGCACAGCGATATCCGTATACTACCTTGCCTAGTACTTACGGTAAAGGTACGGAGAGGCTTGAAGAACCCAGAAGGCAGGAGTGGCAATGCTAATGGGGAATGTACCTTGGCACGTGTGAAGACGATGGGACCTGCCTGGCCTACCTAGTTTCCGGAATTTGACATGTCCAGCAGCAACAATCAACGACTATCTCTATCTAGGTACATACCTTAGGAACTTGAGCATGGTGAGATGCCACCAAGCGCATCTAACCGTACGGATACTTACGATAGGTAGAGACGAGAAAAGATACGTATTTTGAAGGGTGGCAGCGCTAAAAACGATTTTGTGCCTAACACTAGGTAGAGAGGGAACACGGGGAAAGTAAGGTACCTTACGAATAGGAAAAAAAGGTATAAGGTTGATGGGTAGAGTTGTATTGTGTCTCGGTACCTGCAGGAACGGTGTGGCAGATGAGGAACTCGCCAACTCGGGATGCAGAAAAGAGGAAGGAAAAGTGGAAAACGGGGGGAGGAAAGTGGAGGGAAGGAGGCCGACGAGTTGAGCAGGTGGGGACGCCATCCCGTGGCTCCGGCAGCTAAAATGTCTTGTCAGGGGGCATTTCGACGGTCCAACCACCTTAATTGGCTGCATTAAGGTTTAGCATCCCCCCAAGACAGCGGGAGGGTTAATTTGTGTAAGGTTAGGTAGGTAGGTACCTACAGGCTACTCCGTAATGAAGAACCTGAGCCTCGGGGGAGGGAAGAAAGAGACAAGCCTTCCAAATTGGCAATGACAAGCACATCGGGAATTTCTACTTCGCAATTTGGTTGGGGCAATGGGGGAAGGAGGGTCTTGCTGAGATCGGTTAATCTATCTCTCTACCTTATCTGGCTGACGTTTCTTGGAAGGCACGGAGGGTACCTTACCTAAGGTACGGAGTACATCTCGGACTTTGTTTGGTCAATTAGGTACTCCGTACATTCTTCTTGTTACGATTTCTTCCTTACAACATCAACCATTCGATATTCAATTGTCACGAATGCGCTGTTCCAGGACACTCTCACTCAGTTTGTCGAGAGGCCTCCCCTTTCCTAGGCCATGCCCAGCACAAACTGTGGCATCTGTACGGATACTCTCTGTATGCGAAAAAGAGACGTCCCATCGCCCAGGGTCCGAGCGAGTGCCGTGTTCGGAATATCGGCCGGGGGGGAGCCACTTAGCGAGATGCCAAAACACGACTCGAGACGATTCTGTCACAGCTCCCGCCTCCTCGACCGCACACTGCTCCTTCGCAGCGCTAGCGCAACTGCGTGCCGTCTCAACCAAGCTGGAGCTGTCATGGCATCCGACTTTTCCATCCATTCTCTCCCTTGAATCCTTTCCAAGTCACTCGCCATTGTTCCCGCGTACCACCACATTACAGGGCCTCATTCACTAATCACACTCATACCTCAGATCACTCGCTGCGGGATTTCTGGCTGGAGTCAAGGTTACTCGCACTCGCTCACTCACTCATTTCACCCGTTCTACCCAGTACCATCCTAGTCAAGTGACTTCACCATGCTCAACGACACCTACGAGACGAGACAAGACAGCCCACCTCCCTGTTGATGGCACACCAAGCTTCTCACCTGCACGACTGCGGCTCCGTTGGCAGCATCATCGTCGTCTCTACTATCCCTGCTTCTGTCTCCTCGTTCCCGTTCGTGCGCTGGGCACTTCTCTTTCTCTATCTTTACTGCGGTAGGCCGTCTATCGCCTCTCCGTCATCCATCCGTTCGCAACATCCACACCCCTGCTTCCTGTTCCTGTTCCTGTTCTTCCCAACCCTGAACCTTACTACCCCTACTACGACACTTCGTACAACCACTCACTCTCCACCTTTCTCGTCTTGGCTTTTTGTTCTTAATTTGCTCCAAGCTTGGGATGGCAATGCCGCCGTGGGCCTGTGCTTCATGTGCTTGATCGGACGCTGCATCCCCGAGCAACGAACCGCCCAAAGGCACCTCGTCTTACACACACCAGACCCCTGCTCCATCTCCATCCTCGTTGACTCTCGCCCTCTCCCCTCTCCCACCCCCCTTCTGCACACGAAGGACCCCCGGAGGCGTTGCTTGGCTGCACTTGGCTTGCATGACCGGGGTCCAAAGTGCTTGGTGCCTTTCCAACAAGTCCCAAGGACGGGCTGGCGGAAGATTTTCTCGTCCTGTTTCGTCGAGGTCGATGTTGCGGCCGGGAAGGGGCTGTCCCATGCCATGCCCTGCCATGACCATACTCCATACCACACGCAGTAGAGTATTTTCCTGGTATCCTACGCAAAGTACCTTGGCCCATGGCATGGGATAACGAACCGATAATGCGACGTGGCTCGCGCTCCTCATGCCAGCCGAGTCTCGCTCGATTTAAGCTCTCCTCCTCCCCCCTCATCCTCGCCATCAGAGAGGTTTCTGTTTCTTCTCCCCCATCTCTTCTTCATCCGCCTGTCTTCACTCATTCTCTGTGTGACTTTCGTTCTCTTTTCGGTTCCGTGTTCACTCTTCTTCGTCACGAGCAGGCCCTCGCCATTAAAGCCATCCAGCTATAACTAAACCCTTTTATTCCCTTTCGACTTTCTAGCCAGGCTCTAGCAGTCTCGCCAATTACCAAATCTTCAGAGAAGAGAATTAAAGAGAAAAGAGGAGGCAACTACAGGTCGCGTCATCCTCGACAAACGAAAAGAAAAGGTCACCCTAATCGACACCGACGACACAACATCCAAACAGTCAATATGAAGTTCTCCGCAGTGTTAGCTCTCTCCGCCGCCGTCATGGCCTCCGCCAAGTCGGTCCGCAACCACTACCCCGTCCGCAGAGATGGTCACAAGAAGGGCGAAAAGGGACAGGCTCAAGCTGGACAGATCGCTGGCCTCCCCGCAGGCATGACTGGGTTTGGAGTCTCCAACAGCCAGGTCACCGAGGTTATCATCATTTGGGCAAACCCGGGTGCCGGAGCCCCTACGATCAACATCAACCCCCCCGCCGGTGGTGCTGCCGCCCCTCCCGCTGCCGCCCCTCCTGCCGCCCCTGCTGCTCCTCCCGCCGCTCCCCCGGCCGCGCCCCCGGCTGCTCAGCAGACTCACCAGGTCAGTACCTACCACAAGTCGGAGCATGGCTCTGTAAGCGAAATCGTCACCACTAACACCCTCGCAGGTCATGGTTGGCGGTGCCGCTGGTCTCGTCTTCGTTCCCGATCAGATCAAGGCCAATGTCGGCGACATGGTTGTCTTCACGTTCATGAGCCAGAACCACACTGCTACCCAGTCCGCCTTCGCGACGCCCTGCGATCCCTTGGCTGGTGGCATGAACTCTGGCTTCATGGCCAACCCCAACAACTCCGTCAGCCCCCCTCCCCAGGTTGCCATGCAAGTCATGGTCTCTGAGCCTTTGTGTAAGTCCTCCTGCTCCTGTGTGTAACCTCTCACTCTTACTAACACGCGCTTTCAGGGTTCTACTGCGCTCAGGCCAACCACTGCGGAAAGGGCATGACCTTCTCCATCAACCCTACCGCCGCCAAGACTCAGGCCATGTTCCAGTCGATGGCCATTGCCCAGAAGGGCAAGGGTGCCGGCGGTGCCATCACCGGAGGCACTCCCCCCGCTGCTGCTCCTGAGGCCCCCGCCGCCTCTGCTCCCGCCGCCGCTCCCCCTGCCGCCAACCCCGCTGCTCCTGCCGCCCCTGCTGCCGGTGGCGAGATCCAGCAGGGCACTGGACAGATCAACGGCGCCGGTGCTTGCGTGTGCTCCGTTACCTGCTCTTCGGGATCTTTCCCCGCAGTCGGAGCACAAGGCGTCGGCTCTTTCGGCGGCATGGCAGGATCTCTCCCCATGGCTATGATGGAGGCATAAAGAGGATACTACGGTTCCAATCACTTTTATGGTGAACGTAATCCGCCTTCCTTAGTAATCCATTTTTATTTACGCCTCTGGGAAAAGAGAACCTGTTTTTTTGCCCACTCCGCTGGGAACGATACCACATATCCGGAGTTGTTGTCACGATACACACCTTTAGGGGAACCCGTCATATCACGACCTTTTTCTCTTTTTTTCTTTTTTTTTTCATCATGTAGATTTCTCTTTGGTGGTTGTGGAGACATAAAAAGAGCGGGTAGAAGGTACTCTTTTTCCACGTGTTCCGGCTTGGGTTGAGCCCGCTCCCCTTGTGTAGGGAAGGAAAAGAGGTGATGGGGGTGATGAAGGTTTTAGGGGATAATTACAGATGTATGACTGGTTCGTATTTCCTGGATGGAAAAACACCATTTGTTTGTTCGCAACCGCTTAATAAGGAATCAAATAAATGGATGATGAATGATCACAGCTTCAATGTTCTCCGTCAATGTTTTTTTGCGTAATGCCTAAAGTTGGACTATTTGAGACTACTACTATTGGCTACTCAGAGGAATCATTGAGACTCGGGGTGAGAGGGAAGGGGGAGAGCCAACGCCTAAGAAAGTGCCTGGCACCTTACAAGATAGGCTCGGGGGGATTTCTGATCCGGCTCGTGACTCGTGAGGTCAACCCGGTTTGATCGACCGTCAGTGTGCCGGATAAGCGCCGATAGAAAAGCAGAGAGAGACCTGAGAGGAAAGGCCGAAAGGGTGCGTTGAAGTCGATCATGTAGCCGTGTCTGCCGTGTGTCTATTCCCGTTATCCCGGGAATTGATGTACCTTACTATGCCATTCATGATTCCCGCACCACGTCACTGTCAACTCGAGTCGAGGTCTGGGATGTTGGATCGATCCACGGGAAGTTTTTGCCGGGGGGGTAGGCCCGTGTTTGTGCATCTGTCATTTGTATGCTTGCTTGTCAGGCAGGATCTTTGACGGCGGAGAGAGAGGGAGATGTCGAGAATTGATGAGATGAATGTGTGATGAACGGACGGCGGCGTTTGGCCTTGGATTCGTTTGAAGTGGTTTGGATGCGAGTTCATTACCCGAGAGCCTGGTTGCTCTTGAGAGAAACCAGTCTGCAAGTACTACCAAGACTTGCCGAAGATGTCTCTTAGTCTCTCTCTGCAGAGCAGGTTTTGTATCGTTCGAGTAGTTGACGAAACTGCGACCCTCTCGTACTTCGTCACACCTCGTTTTCTGCAATTGACCGAGTACTTCTTTGGTTGCAAGTCATTTGGGATTTCCAATTGTTCTGATATTTCACGCCTGTCTCTCCATGCTTAACGAATGCAACCTCCATCGCTTTAACTAAAGTGTAAGGGAAAAAAAACAACACCCCTGTTTATGAATTTCCGTTTCGCCGTTCATTGATAAGTTTCTTCTCCCTTTCTGCGCTTTGGGAAAAGGGGCCGACGTGGAGAGATTCCATACTCCTATGCTCCTTCTCCTGTCTTCCTCTACATCTGCTGACTCATCTCACAAGTCGGTCTACCTTCATGTGACTTCATGTGAGGGGACTCATGAGAATGCTTGAGAACCCGAGCGTAACACACAGACCAGAGGTGAGACAGATGGGGGAGAAAGAGGTATTTCATTCCAATATGGCCTCTCGCCGCCGAAGACCCCTATTCTCTCGCGCTGCTTTTATTTCTTTTTCGACCCTCCTGCTGCTTCCGCTGCCTTCTTGGCCTCAGCTATCAATTACATCGTCAGCATACTATACTCCATAAAAGTGATTCGTTTTCAGTCTTGGTCACTCTTGTCTTTCCCACGACCACTTTCTCCCGATCGCCGTTACCCAAACAGCCCTCACCACCGATGGTGACTGCCTAAGACTATGGTTTCCCACCAACCCCGGCAGGGCATCATCGAGACAACATCGAAAAGGGGAGGAAGAAGTGAAAGTGACTCAGCCTTCCAAAACTGACACTGAGCTCCTTATCCCCCTCTTCTCCAGCGCTTACGCCACCTCGAAATCGAGAGACGGTCATGGTAATAGCGACTCAAACAGCAAAACAAAAAAAGTGACTCACCGTTGGCCTGCTTCTGCCGCATAATCTCAGCAGCAGACTCCTTTGCGCGCTGCATCTCCGTGCCGCTCATGGTGTTTCCCTTCTTCTGTAGAAATCACATCTGTCAGCCATCTTTGCTCGTCCATATCCTCAATGATGTTTGCTCGAATGATCTGCGCGATGAGTTCCCTTTCTCGCACATGCTGACACCGACTGCCCCGCCCCCACCACAATGAGTCCTTACGCCTGCCTCATGGGCACGCGGCCCCTTTTTTCGGGGTGCCAGTACACTCAGAATCCCTCGTGTCTAGCATATCCAAATGAGGAGCTAACAGTTTTTCCTGCCCATAGGCTGCCAAGGCCGCCGGGGGTGGGTGAATCGAACGTGGAAAAAAACAAAGACAAGGAAATCTCACCTGAGAAGCAGCCTTCTTCTGAGCAGCCTCACGGGCCTTGTCGCGCTGGTTGCCACGGGTCATTTTCGGTGTACGTACGGTAGGCGCTGAAACTTGTAGTATTTCGAGGTGCGAGCTCGGGAGACGGTTGCGATAAAGTCGCAGACGTGGGTAGTTTCCGCAGTTGAACGTGAAGTGGAGGGAGTTACGATGGTTGTCAGACGAAAGGAAAAAGAGAGGCTGAATGACGGAAGGTTTAAAGGGAAAAATTGCGGTCAGAGGTTCGGCCGTCGAACTCTTTTTTTTTAATGGTTGCCAGCCCGGGCGACCGCGAGGTTTGCCGCAACGCCGCACCCAGCACAGCCCCGCCGTCAGCGCTCTGCGACCCCTCCATTCACTTACTTCCCACTCCCACCTGGACTCTCTCTCAGTGAATGGGAACTGGTGTGGGACCACCTCGACCCGGACCAAACGTTCTGGAACTTGCGCTCTTGGGGGAAACGGTCCGACTTTAACCAATCAGAAGCGGCTGTTTCGACTCTCGGTCACTTCACATGCTCCATCCGATCGCAGGCCTCCCTCTTCGATTGTGTCGCACACCGCGCTTCTGGGCATCAGCCTACCATTCAGGAGGGCATTCACTCCAAGGTACGAGCCAAAATTAGTAACACCAGCAACTCCTTTTAAGTGGTCAGCATGGTAACACACATCACGAAGAGGTCAAGAAACACCGCAAAACTTAAAAGTCAAGATCTTTGTCTCGAATTATCTGCCTAGTTACATGCGCGCGGTCGGAGGGTGTGTCGTGGGCATTTGCTGAGAAGCATAAGAGCAAGTCGAGCCAAGAGCCTCACCAAACACGTCTTGTTCTCCGCCGGCCAGAAAAAGCAAAAAGTAACGCCCAATTTTCATCCCTAGAGTTCTCTTACACACACAGGAAACCTTCTCCAATCTCCAGAAGGCCAAATCGAATCTCTCCAGAAACCCCCCAAACATACGAGAGCCCATGAGCTCTTGATGGATATCCCCGTCTTGTTGATGTTGTATTCTCCCAATTCAGATAAGCCATGAGAGGTCTGGGTGTCATACTGAGCGATCCATGTTGAAAGTGTGAAACGACGTGCCAACTGCATGCGAGAAGAAGAAAAAGAAAAATGAAGAAGAAAAAAAACTGTCTCCGATGCTGTCATGTCCCAGTGTTGGCCCCTATGCAATGCGTGCGCAGTCAGGTATCTCCTGTATAATCTTGTCGGACCGTTCCGTGGGTCGTAGAAACGTTCGAGTGGAGGTACGCAAGGCTAAGGTGGCCCGTAGTACACCGAGATGCCATCGTTCGTAAGGGAAGAAACTCAAGTCTTCCCGAAATCGTTGCGCGTCTCATGATCAGCTTCGTGACTGGCGTATCGTCAAAGGAATTATGCCAATGTTGTTGTCGTGAGTCCGATCCAATCATGATGCCAAGGGTCACTAGTTGACCCTGGCGAACGAGCGTCGAGAATGAAGAAAAAAGTGACGGAAGTAAGAAATCGCGGCGAAAAAACAAAAGAAACTGAAAGCAAGGAAAGCGTTCGTCTATGTCGATGTTGGCATCGAATCAAGTACAAGCCCTATTGAAGGCTCCGCCCGATCTGGTGACGGCTGCCGAGAAGCAGAATGCGATTCTTATGTCTGCGCTGCAAATGCCGAAGGGTGGGCACTGATGCGCTGCCCGAATCCATAGTGTACACACAAAGCAGGCCTTGCAACCGGATGCAAGGACCGCCGTGCTCGACGGATGAAGAGGTTGGGTGGATTGCGGTGTTGTATGTTGGTTGGAGGATGATTTGTGGTGTTTGCACAGACAGGGAAAAGGAAAAAGATCGTCAAGTCGTTGCTGCGTAGCCGCCGTGCTGTGTCGAAAGAAAACCGTTACGCGGAAAGCATCATGCCACCATTATGTTCGTTGTCGAATGCCCGGGCAACATTTCGCACCATTGGAACCGAATCTCAACGGGCTGAAATGGTCGACAACGCGTCGAATACAATTACAGCCACTGAGACTCGCCCGCAGCGGCGTCAGCGGGGGCGCCACCGTTGGTGCGCCGCTGGCCATTGAAGCCAAACTGCTGGACGCGCTGGTTCTGGGGAGCGGGGGGCGGAACAGTGACGTTGTTGGTCGTGGGGTAGTTGGCCTGGTTGCCACGAGGAGCCATGCCACCGCCGTTGAGACCACCATTCAGACCATTGCCAAAGGCACCGCCAGGGGCGATGATGGAGGTATTGTTAGACATGGCGCGGTTGTGGCCGGGACGCAGGGGAATCTGGCCTTGAGTGGGATCCGCGGGAGTAACCTGACCGCTCGAGGTAGCACTGCCACGTCCCTCAAAGGCCTGGATCTTGGCCTGAATGCGACGGCCATAGGGAGTGGACCGAATGGAAGGCAAGATGGGGCGGATGGCGTCCACCAAGCGGTACTTGCTGGCAGGAGGAGCGTACTCGAGGGCGGTCTGGATGACGTAGTTGGCATACGAGTCACGGAGCAGTCTCTCGATCTCGCCGGGGTTCAGGAGTTCGTCGACAATCATCTCGCGGGAAGGCTCCTGGGAGCAACGAAGGCACTTCTCGATGACGTTGGAGCTGAACTTGTGGCGGGAGAGCTGGCCGATGCGGTTCTGGAACATACGCACAATCGGCTCAGTGAAGGAGGGCTCGTTCAGGTCGATGATGTACTGGACAACATAGTTGCCAAAGGGATCCTGAACAAGGATCGGAGCGTGCTCGGTGATCTTGGCAATCAGCCAGACCTTCTGCTCTCCAGACGCATGATCAATGCAGCGCTGGAGAACGCAGCAACCGTGACGGTGAGTGCCAACATCAACGCAGTTGGTGCCGACAGCGTCGAAGATGAACTGAGCATCCTGAGCGCTGAGCTTGTTGAGACACTTCTGGATGACATGGTTGCCGTTGAGGTCCTGGATAAGCTCAACGACCTGGAAGCGAAGAGCGTTGATGATCATCTCAATTTGGGTCGGAGTAGTAACAAACTCAATCATCTTCTGAAGAGCACGGGTGCCGTGCTGGTTGAGGGCGATGCGAACCATGTCGACGGCGGCATTCTGAATGAGCACAGTGCGCTCATCGTCGTTGCAGTACTCCAGCAGCTTCTGGCAAAGATAATTGCCAAAAGGATCAGTCATGAGCTCAATGACGTGCTGGTTGGTCTCAAGCCAGATCATGTGGACCTGCTCCGGGTTGCGCTCCTCGAGCTTCTTTTGCAGATAGCGGCAGCCGTGCTGGTCCTTGCAAAGGTCATAGATCTGGCCACCAACGTTCTCAAGAGCGAGGCCGTTGTAGCGCGACATGGCTAGGCAGATGTCAGTAATGTGTACATATTATGAGACTGGTCATGTAGCTTACCTTCATTGTCCATCTGGCGGCGATGTTGAATGACACGAGCCTGGCTATCACGGGGCTGAGGCTGAGGGTTGTACAGAGCGCCATAGCCAGCGTAGTTCTGAGCAGGGTACATGTTGTTGTTGCCATTGAGGTTCATGTTCTGCATGCTCATGGCCAAGAGAGGGACGCCGTAGGGGCCAGGGCCAGAGGCGGGGGGAGGGCCGCCGTTGTTGTTGGGCGAGACGTAGCCGCTCGGGTAGAATCCACCGTAGCCGTTGTTCGGACCAGCAGTGGCAGTACCGTTGGGAGTCTGGTTGCCCTGAGAGGTGTGAGGGAAGCCTTGACCTGGAGCACCAGGACCGAAAGGAGCGGCATTGGCCTGAAGAGCCGACTGGATGGAAGGGTAAGAACCAGCCTGCTCGCGAGGGCCGCCCATGGTGTTGTCGTTGGACAGCTCACGGCTATGGCGGCCGGGGACAGCGCCAGCGGGAATGCGACCGATGCTGGCATTATGGTTGTGGAAATGCTGCTGGGCGTGGTTGTTGGTGACAGGGCCGCCGTTGGCAGTGCTCTTGACGGTAGGCACATCGTTTGCAGAGAAGGAGCTCTGCAACTTGGGAGGAGTAGCCATGATGTGGTTACCGGGGTGGTTGCCGGGAGGAGAGACGATGGAAGCCTGGTTGTCGGAGGGAGCGTCCGGGAAGAACTTCAAGTCGAGCGAGTGGCGGACTGAGGAACGCTTGCCGATTTCTCCAGAAGATGAAGCTCCGTTGAGCGAAGACGTGTTGATAGCAGACAAGCTCTGTTGGGTTCGGTGACGGTTAATATTGCCCCAACCATGGGAGGACGGCGCGTCAGGAGCGGGCGAGGGAGACAGGGCAAGGTCAAGGGCAGCGGATGATGCAGAGAGCTATACGACGCAAACAATTGTCAACAGTTGATCGGAGGCTGACAAGTTCGAAGGTTTGTGTCGACAGTATTTTCCCTGCAAAACTCTGACCTTGGCAGGAGGAAGGAGCAAGCGGTAAACGGACAGAAAAGGAAGGGGGACGGAGATATGGGGGTATTCTGCTCCTTCTCTTTTTTCCACTCACATCCACAGGTGGAATCAGGAAAGAAAAAAAAAGAAGAAGAGGCCGCAAAAAAAAAAAAAAAAAAGGGCGGAGTGGAAATTGTGACCAAGGTGTGCGGGGTGAATCTGACGGACAGGAGGTGAAGTTGAAGCAAGCTGCAGCTGCAGTAGGTGCGGTTGCTTGCGGCTCGCACCTTCCCGCCCGTGAGGTTCGGGACGTGGCACTTCACCACTCATGGGCAAAATAAACATATGGGCCTTTTTTTCTCTTGCTGAGCAGGCAGAAGAACCATAGGCACCAGCTTGCTCATGCATTGGATAAGGTAATGGGGTAAAATAGGTCATGAGGAAGTGAACAGAGAGAGATAGAGGGAGGTGGTGGTGTGAATGTGAAGAAACAAAATGCGCAGACATACCATTTGATCGTTCTGGCGAACCAGAGTAGGGAAGTTGTCGTCGCCGTTGGCCTGGCCATACTTGTTCTCGCCAGAAGCGTCCTCCTCGCCAAAGAGGAAGCGAGCAGTGCCAGTCTGGTCGAGGTCGGCGCCGTAGAGACCAGTGCGAGAGCGCGTGACTGGCATCGAGTAGCGGTTGTAGCTATCGTTGGGAATTCCAGTGTCAGCCATTGCTCAAATTGGTAGAGGTTTGCTTGCTGTGCGGTAAGTATGTTCCTCTTCTTGGGCAAGTCTTGGGCTGTCGGCTGGTTTGCTTCGAGAAGAAACGAAACGAAGGAAAATGGAAGAAAACAGAAAGGCCTTCCAAGAATCCTCGGCGGTCGGTTTGAACGGAGCTTTCGAAAACCAGCACGAGCGTTCTTTTGTCAGAAGCGTTCGATAGGCAGGTGCGATTTGTGAGATTGGAACAAAGGATTTGAACGTCGTTAAACCTTGGTGTGAAGACGCGAGACCAGGTGCGTGATGTTTTATGGTGTAACTTAAAAGGATAAGTCACTGTTGTTTGGTCGATAGATGTGTGAGACTGTGAGGGTGTGGTGCGTAAGGTATGTGGTGGTGTGGGTGTGGAACGGTCGAAGTTGAGGCCGCTGGCTGCTCGAGATCGCTGTTTTATCGACGAGTGGGGTGTGAGGATTCAGAAAAGCCAGAGGGATGGAATCGAGGGAAGGAGCTCTCGCCCATCTCAAGGAAAGAACTCATTCCATCCAAGGCAAGAGCGCACCTTGAAAACCAACTTGCGGGGCCCCACCGCCGTACGTTTCTTTCGAACAATACCAGGACTTACCAAACGTCGACAAAAACAACTTTACTGGCCTTCGCTATGCCGTGATACTCACCTTACCCAAGACTTGTCCAGGAAGCAAACATACTGGTCACACTGCACGGATTACGGTACTTACGCGTTGGAAGATCGATGACTAGTCGGATCTTGGCGAACTGCCTCCTCCTTCTCGTCCTCATCGCTGTTTCTGCGAGATCCCGGCACGGATCGGGAAGGCAAATGGTCGTCAAAGGTGAAGCGGGACTGCATCACCGTGGAGTGCGGCGAAGTGAGCTGCGAGCCCGAGCGCCCGGGGCGGTTGAAGAGACCGGGAGGCGAGGTCAAGCTCGAAGTCGAGTAGCGGTTGGGACGCGAGAACATCGTGGGGAAGCCGGACGATTCGTGGTATTCGGGGGGCGTCGTAGGCTCCGACTGGTGGCCCTGGCGGAGGTCGTCTTGCATCTTCGCAAGCTCCATCTCTTCGCGACGCTGGGCCTGCTCCAGCTTCTGCATCTCCATCTCGAAGCGACGTCTCTGCTCGCGCAGTCTCTCATATTCGATCTTTTTCTTCTCGATCTAGACCACACAGTTAATAGCCTTTCTTCTTTGCTGTGTATTGCAACTCTGCAGCGTCTGCTTGGTGGTGATAGTCCTGTCGCTAACGAGATTCTACAGCGGGATGGCGGAAGCCCACATACCAATTGAACTTTGTGGAAAGTCTGGACAAAGACAATGTCAGTCGCATTCTTACGGAGTGTAGCGCGCGATGGCGAATGAAGATATGCGCGTAGAACGCAATGGGATAGCATTCCACTCGTGGATAAGAAACGTACGTTGTTATAATCAGGGCCAGCAAGGTCAGGGCCGCGCTGACCGGTGATTGAAGACAATGTTGGTACACGCCCCGAATCCGTGGTGAAGCGGCGAGGCAGGGCACCTCGCCCATCGTGGGCCTGAACAGGCTGCGGGAGGCGGCCGTTCCGCGGAGGTGAGACAAGTGTGTTCATCGTGGACTCGTTACGGGGCGACTGTTGAGATCGGAAGCGCAGCTCGTCCATGGTTCGGCTTATTCCAACAATTCGTACACGGCGCAAAGAGGCCTAGTGGCTGCGGTTTCTATATACTGCTGGCATCAAGCAGGGCCGACGGTCAGCGACATGAACATGTAGAGGGTTTTGTTGCGGCGAAAAAGGCAGCGGCGGCAGCATCAAAGAATGTGGTAGATCAGGTTGCGTGTGACGCCCATGGCGGCAAGAAACAACAGAACAGAGCGAGAGTTTCGTGATTCTGGAAACAAGGGAAATTGGAGGCGGGGTGCGGAACTGGCGAAGTTTGGTGGTGCTGGTCCGGGGGTTCCCTCTTGGTCCTGGTCTTGGTCCTGGCCTTCTCCAAATGCGGGCGGCAGTCGGTGAAGCGCTGAAGAGACAAGGAGAATGATGGCAGTGGACGCATGGCAACAGCTGAAGCTGAGCAGCCCGAGTGAGACTCGAATGTCTCGCCTTGCAACTCCTGTCTCTTCTTGGGCCTCTAGATCGCGGTCCGAAACCGTCACTGCCGTTGTCGTTGCCTCTCCAGCTTCTGCCGAGCATCCCTACCTCTTCTTCCCCTTTCCGTTCGGGCCTGGCATCCAGCTCTGGGATGTTGTGCTTTGGGATGTCGAGAAGCCTCTGGGAGCGCATTACCATGTCCGACTGAGTTGACTCGCTGGTTTGGTGGCATAACGGCACAAAGGGCAGCCGCAAGTGTTGTTTCCTCTCTGGTTCTCTCTCTCTCTCCTCGTGTTTGCGTTGTGTGTAATGTGTTTCTTGCCGCCACGGCGCAGTTGCTCCCACAATCGCAGAGCTCTACCACACATAGATGCGGGTGTGATACGGCGACCGGCCAAGCACAAAGAGAACAAAAGAACTGGAACGTACCTGGGTTTTTTTCTCCCGTGGTATTCTTCCCCGGTGCAGTACAGAGTATACACTCAGATAAAATTCACACGCCGCGCCCTGGAGAGCCAGGAGCGACAAGTTGAAGAGGGTTTTGGAATACACGGACACACGAGATGGTGTACAGAAAGAGAACTGGGTAGGAAACCGACGACCAACGTGGGGAGAAACGAAAAGAGCAGGCTCGGAGCATAAGAAGGTAATGTAGCGATTTTCAGGTGTGGGAGACAAGCACGGTTGAGAGGGCGTGGCAGGCCAGCCGGCGGCCCAAGATACCCCTGCGCCAACGACGGGGGGGCCCAGTTTGACGGGGGCCACATCGAGAGAGGAACCACAGACAGGAACCACCGCATCTCACTCGCTAACCAGGTGAGGGCGGCTTTGCAAGTCGGAGGGGGTGGTTTGCTTTGGTACCCAAAGAACCCTGCTCAGTCCGCGAAGGATATCCGTAGGGACTGAGATGCGAAGGACTTCCTCCGTACCGCAGGTAATTACTGACTATCTGTGACTACCTACCATACGGACACCTCTCAAGTGACGAGAAAGCCCCTTGTTACGCTCTCTCCCGCACAGAGACTGGCTGGAAGCCCAAGGGCAGACAAAGTACCCTGCGCCGTATTGCGTTACCACACCTTGCCCTGTCCTTGTCAAGGTAGCGTCCAGTCCTTCGCGCGCCGTACCTGGCCAGGTCGGGAGGAGAGTTGCGGGTACTCAGAGCAGGTACAAAGTCTGGACAGCGTCAAGCTTGCACTGTACATAGAGTAGGTAGGCAGCTAGGGTAGCCGCGGTGCGTGTGCATGTGGTTGATGCTCGACGGGTGTGCTGGCGTATGTGCGGGTGTGGGTGGTGGTGGATGGTGGTGGTGGCTCTTGAGTCTGACGCAGCGCAGCTTGGGCTTTCGCAATTCCTCTTCCCATGAAGTTCCCGAAAGGGCAAAACAGCCAGTGGGAGGTGAGGGGTGGTCTTGCGAACCCTGTTCGAAACCCTCCCGCGCCCAGGAGCAGCGGCAAGACTGGATGGAGGGCGAGCCCGCAGATGTGGTTGCACTTTATATTCGCGGGATACCTCTTAGGTACTAAAACAACTCGAGTCTGGCCATGTCAGCCATTGGCGTTCTGTGACTCTCAAGAGGTTGCCATCAAGTCAGTGCTGGCAGCAGTGGTACCACGATAGAACGGTGAACATTGTCGTTGAATCGGTAGTGGTCGATTACTGCAATATACCGACTCGTCTGTCGATATCTCATGACTTGTTCGTCCGTGTCTGGCTTCATTCTCTCTCCTCCTGTCCTTTCCTCTCGTGACATGCACGGAGCGAGAGTTCCAGGCCCATTGCCCAATTACACACCCCTCCGCTCCCCTCACTGTGTGTCTTTCTGTCTCTTTACCCCCTCGTCTTTTCCCCTCCTCTCCTGTTGAGGGGCTGGTGCACTAACAGCCATAGAAACCGCCGAGTCTAGCAGGTCGGAGGTCGTCCGTACTAGTCCCAGTTGACCATCTTGTTCCGCTTTCCTGTCAGGGGCTGTCTCTTGCGAGTGTAGCACGGTGCGGATGGCCCACCACCCAGGCTTGTCAAGGTTGTGCGAGCGTTGACGACAGAAATGGCTGTTGCCAGTGCATCGGAAACTCTATCTCGGTCTGACAGGAGGCCCGAGATCCCCTATTACCCAGTTTGCAGAGTCTGCCAGGCCTGTGGCGGCAATTTCTCACGCTGGGTTGATGCCCCGTCTTGGGTTTGACGGTCACCGCCTTGTATCGTTTCCGTGCTTGACTTTTGTCGAATTGCCAATCTGCCAAGTAGGGCTTGGGGCTTTGGGAATCACCTTGTACATGATTTGCTCTCGCGCTGGCTGCGAAGCAAGCTCCGAACCAAGGACCTGCATGCTTCGTTGAGCGGTGAAGCGGCAGCCTGTGCTGTGGGCTGTCAAATATGTAGCTTTGTTTCTGTCTGCCAGCCTAGCATACCGTCTGTGCCGCACACTGCCTGCGTTGCATCGCTCTTCGGGACTTGGATAGCCCTGTGCGACACCAACGTGCTTTCCCCGGATCGAACGAGTGCGGCCAAAAGATCTAGATATTCATGCCAGCTGTCACAGCGTTGCGCTGTCCGCGAGCTTCATTGACAGTACACGTTGCTGCTCGCAACAGATTCTGTGAATGAGGAGTTGCGTCAAGGTAGACAAGGACTGATCGCATGTCTGTGCCATGGCCGTCGAAGATCGGCTGAACCGAGTGGACAGACAAGGGCTGTTCGCCAACGAACAAGATAGGATGTGCACATGGGGTACGTAGAGCATCGGCTCTTATTTAGCCATCCAAGGTATTCGAGGCCTGCCGTTTTGTGCCTGGTCCAAACGTCAAATCGCTCGTCAATGGGAGGCTCCGTTGGCCGTTGACACCCAAGAGTCTACATACGTCGTCAGAAGTGCAGAGGCTTATTCTGGTCAGTATCAGAAGCCCTCTCTCTACGTTCCGAAGGATCGAATGACCCGGCTCCAGTGTAATGTTCCTGTCCGAACTCATGAGTTTGTTGCGGTGAGATCTATCTTGAGACAAATGATGGTCTTTGCCCTTATTGGTCCATCCTGCGGCGTTGGTTTTTCTTGTAAATTGATGATATCCGTAGCGATTTTCGACGTGTGAATGCAAATATAGAGCACCAGTTGACGAATGGACTGCAACCCTACGTCGGTGAACCGCTGAACGGAGCTCCCGAAGATTGCTCGATTCTGAGTATCAGGTCCATCCTTACCCTTCTTTTCTGCCGCTCCGAAGAGCTCCACAACATTTTTCTTCTTTTTTTTTCTTCGCAAGCCGCTGGCGGGGAGACAGGGTCTTCCCGAACTGAGGGTCTCTTGCTAAAACTGGCCTGGCTAGGCGGCGCGCGAAACCGTGGCTTGTCAGTCTGTATTTACACAGCAAGACTAAGAAAACCTCCATGTGGGGAGAAGACTATGCATTCTCAACGCTCGAGATTCCGAACACACAAGGGAGTGAATGCTTTGCAGCTTCATACAGGATGCATGTCGATTCGCCTAAAAAGAGCCAACATGTGCGTGCCTTTTAGGGCTGCGGCTTGGGTATGGTTATCGAGGCCCTCTGTCCCTGCAGGCGAGGTGAGGAGACGAACGAGGAGAAGGGTTAGGTGTACTACGTACGGAGTACGGAAGACTTGGAGCTTCCAGCCTCATTCTCAGCACGCTTAGACGAGAACACACAATTCAGAAACATGCGTGATGTGTCCCCCGCGATTCGGGCACGGCGACGCAGCACCTAAGTGGCAGGCCTTGTCCTATTGGCGCCGCATCTTGGACCGTTGCTGGTGCCAGGTGGGCTGGCGAGGATCTCGAAGTGACTTGCATCTTCCCACCTTCCAGCCGCCGGGTGGTTTGCGAAGATCCATGGTCGGGGTAGAGGCTCCAGTGCTTCGTCATAATGCGGCTAGATGGTTTCCTGAGAGGCATGGAATGGCCCGTCCTGGGTTGAAAATCGCGAAAATAGCAGTCAGGAAAACTGAATTGTTGGGCGGCAAGCATGGGCTGTCGCAAGCTTCTAGCGGCTCGGTTCTACACCGACTTTTAAGGCCCGCATTGAGTGGACTATCTGCGAGTCTGCGACAAAGTAGGCGTGGGCAGCGGCATTGGCGTGGAGAGTAGCAAAAAAAAACTCCAGGCTCGGGGCCACAGTGACTTGTCAGACGGTGCCTTGAAGGAGGCTTCAACAGGTATCGGGTTTGTACCTTGGCGGCGGGGGAGGTTTGAGGATGGCAGAAGACGTTCTGACTCTGACTGTCGTCCCATGTCACTTGCAGGATGCTTGTTGACGGATCCCGGTTGAAAGACGACGGGCTAGAATTCTGAATGGTCTTCCATATGCCACTTTCTGCGCTAATCCGAGGAAAGTCGGCTCGACGATCAACTAGTTCGGATATTCCCTCGCCACCCCTTTTTTCGATTGCCATTCTGGCACTGGGTCCATGTGGTCGAAGAAAGATCCCATCAGGCAAAGGCGGCAAAGCCCTTGGCTCTGGCTCCTCTGTGTTGCGAAACCCCAGTAGGAGGAGGGGTTCTCCGATAACAGAGTGGTTGGACCCTCGATCGGCCGCAATCTTCGGGGCCGCAGGTCGTGACTCGCGGGGTTGACCTGTTGCATCATAGGTGACAAACTTCGCCCAGGTTCAACGTCTTTGTGTGTTTCCAGGTCAACAGTAACGGTGCCAGAGCCTAGACTACGCCGCAGAGGACGGTTTCATGAGACTGTGAGAAGCGGCAAACGAAGCACTGATAGCTCTTGGATTCTCTCTCGATCGACTATTGTGCCCCTGGAAGTGGCGTTCATTGTAGCTCTAAAGCTGAAGGGACGTGTGCTAGGTGTAGGTATCCGTTTCGTGGTATCGCGGGGCAGCTTCACCACCTAACCGATCGGGGTCCGATATCTGGAGTCGAAGAGGGGCAGTTGCAGTCGAAGGGATGCGACTTGGCTTGCCACAGTAGGTACGGAGTACATTATATCCTCTGCCAACGCAACATGCAGACGCCGCCGTCGCCGCCGCATCACCAGCTGCGGGTCGTGCAAAGGGATACCCTGCGGGGAGCATTCTGATCCCATGCAGGTGTGACGACAGAACAAGACCGTGAATTGATACAGGATATGAGCAGCGAAAGGATCTGTTGTCAGAAGCCCTAGAAGCAACCCTAGTGTGGTGAACTGCCTCTCATTTGAATAACATCAGAATATTATGGCTGTTGCAAAGCAGGATATCGAAATAATGCAGTTCCAGCACATTTCTGAGATTGGGTGTGTAAGGGCCATGCAGTCGGTCGTGTCCGGAGGGCCCATACTCCCGTAAACCCAGGCTGTTGAAATAGAGGCTTTTTGTCTGTCACGAAGAGGGGTAAAGTATGAAGTAGAGAGAAAAGATGGTCGAGGGCGGGGCTGCAACAGATGACAAGGCACCCGCAGACCCTGGCTGCTTTCTCTCCTCCCTTGCTCAGGCGTGGCTTCCCAAGTTTCCACAGCCTAAAGTGGTGACCTGGAACGGCGACAACCCCCCACTCGTCAACCACTTGAGGAAAGTGTCCGGAGTCCCTGGTCAACTTGGCTTTGGGCTTTGGAGGCAGTCGCGGCTGTGTGTCTCCAGCCAAGCGCGG